GCTGTGGCCGCTGCTCTTTTTTCTGCATACAGTGGACGGGGCAGAAAAAAGAGGTCAGGTGTGGGGGGCGTTCGTGACACCTAGAAGAAGAGAAGGGTCAGCGAGGCACCTCATTATCGTTCCCATCATTTCCTTTAAGTGCATGCCTGAGATAGAAAACAGAACACTGAGATCAACTTCCTTAAGTTGATTTTTAAAAGGAGGTCAGCAATGGTCTTATTCAGGTAAACGCAGCAGCCTTAAGAGCTTCCAGGTAAGTTTACTATCTGAGCCCGGTGTCACGCTTGGACAGGCTTCAGGGGCCCTCTCTGAAGGGCTGGTGAGTGTGCCCGGGGCTGCTGCTCTCACAGGGGGTTAAGTCAGTGGAGACCAGCGCCGTTCGCGACGTCACACGTACAGGTTTGGGAGGTGCTCTGTGTTTGCCGTGCTCTCGAGGACTTGGTTGAACGTGTCTCTTCCCTGCTTTGTTCCTGCAGGCCTGCTCTATAAGGGATCCTAACAGTGGGTTTGTGTTTGATCTTAACCCGCTAAACAATTCCCAAGGCTACGTGGTCTCCGGCATCGGGAAGACTTTTGTGGTAAGAGTTATATGATGAACTCCGGTTTGCTTTGAGATGACGACAGAGTGTGTTCAAGTTGCCTGCAGCTGGTGACTGGGGAGGCAGGTGTCCTTACGGGTTGCCCAGGGCACTGGGATGGCAGCTGTCACCCAGGAGGAGACGAGAGAATGCAGATTTAAGGGGAAGTGAAGTAACGCCATCACCCACATCCTGGTCCAGTGCAAACACGAGGGAGTCATTCTTGAGAGAATCAGTTGTGCCTCATGTTATTGTGTGTCTAGAGCTGTGTTCCCTGGGCCGGCTGCCTGGCATCGCCTGAACTTGTTAGTGACACAAATTCCCATGGGGTGGGGCCAGTGCTTTGACTTAACGAGCCCTCCAGGAGATTCTGATGCCCACTGGAATCTGACAGGAAGTAGTAATTCTATTACCCTGTAAAAGGGGAGTGAACTGGATGGCTGTCCTAGAATCTTTCGACAGCACTGCCTTCACAGACAGCCCTAACGGGATGCCTGGAGCAGCAAGGTGGAGAATCTCCATGTTAATGCCGCTGTGATAGAAACTAAGCACAACTAGAAAGGGAGAAAACTTAAAAAAAAAAAAAATCTTTATTTTGGTTTGTTTAAATCCGTGTAGCAAAATCCACATTGGAAGAGGAGAATAAGCTTTGAAAACAGGAAGTTGGGATGAGACTGTCTTATAAAAATTTGATGCCGAGGGGAACTTGGTGGGTATCCCCCATGCAGAGCAGCCCAGGAAAATACCAGGATGGGGGGGGCATGTCACCCAGCATCACTGGGGTGGTTCCCCACGCTCCACTCCAAATTGTTAGTATAGGGTTTGGTTTATACCAGGAGGTTTATAATAGGGTTGTTATGGGTGAGCGTGTATTTAGCTGCCTGTAAGACTGGGAGAGGCAAACCAGGACCTTGCTGGGCCCCAGAGAGAAGATTTTAGATAACATGAACCTCTAGAGAATGTGCTAGAGGAGACGAGCCCTGACTGCTTGGCATTGCACTAACTGGCTATTTCTTAAGGAGGAGTCTTGAAGAAAAACACTTTCTGCACGTAGTTGTTAGTTTTGTATATATTGTCCACAAACACTTAACAGACAGAGAGAGAGAGGTCTTTCTGTGTTCATACCAAAGAGCACATTCTACTTCATTTTGGCAACTACAGTGAATTTAACTGAGTTTAAATGGAATGATATCAACATCTTTAAGAAGTATATGGGTATCACATTATATTCACTTAACATGATTTCAACTATGTATACTTTCTCTAATATAATTTAAAATACTATAAAATTATGGCTTACATATATTCTCTCATATGTTGCATTGTTATCTGCAGTTATCTTCATACATTTAGAGGTACAATGCTGTAGAAATAAACGTGCTGAGCCCCAGAGGCGATTTGTGGGCATTTCCACTTGGACTTGGATTTTTGCCTTTTGTATTTCTAGGACTTAAACTGCCCAAACATGGAAAGTTGGTAACTTGCATAGTGAATAACCGCTGTTGGGCCTGGCAGGCTTTGAGTTGCTAGGGCTCTTCTTGTGTGTGGTGAGCTATGTAGCCTGAGTGTGTGTGTGTGGTTCTTACTGTCGGCCTACAGTTTAATGTGTGCGGCACGATGCCAGTCTGTGGGACCTTGCAAGGAAAGCCAGCTTCCGGCTGTGAGGCAGAAACCCAGACAAAAGATCTAAAGGATCTGAAGCCAGAAAGGCTGGTTGGATTCGAGAAAAGCCTCCAGCTGTCCACCGAGGGCTTTATAACCCTGACCTACGAAGGGCCCCACTCCGCTGCCACAGGTGAGCCCAGAACCATGTTGTTTTTGTAGCTAATGAGGGTCCTGGCTATTCTGTGACTGTAAACCTTTCTGCGTGTGTGACATAAGTGTCCCTGCAGCCGTCCTCTCAGTCCGCCGCCCCTGGGACATGTGCACCTCCCTGACACGTCCTGTGGTGCTGTCCCAGGCCCCTCAGGCATGATCCTGTTTGCTCCCTTCTCTCAGGTGCCTCCAGTAGTCCCTCTGACGAGCTGTGTTTTCACTCTCCCTTTTAATCCCGTTTCTTTCAGGTACTGAAGAAATGGTGGGCGACAGTAATAAAAGTTATTTTGTTTTTTTCCTAAATTTCTTTTTTTCCTCCTCTTCTTCCTCTCAGTCTTCATTATATCTTTACATACCATTTTGCTGCATTCAAGTTGTTAACTTTTTTACCCTTTTTCTGCAACTGGGTCGTACAGCGGAGACCTGGTATCATAAAGTGTAAGGTCAAGTTGGAGACCGCTGAGAGGACAGTGGTGGTGGCAGCGTCCCAGCTGCGATGTGTCGAGTGCTTCGTGTGTTGGGATGCTGGGTGCCCTTTAGCCCGTGATGCTCACCCAGCCCTGTGCCTCTTGCCCTCGACTGGTGCTCACACCCTTTTGCTTAACCACCTCCTCACTTCCCAAGGGACGAAGGCCCTGAGAGGTCCTGTGCCCTGGACAGAGCCAGTAGCTCATTGGTGCAGAGCCAGGTCTCTTGAATCTCTAATCCTGGCTCTGCCAGTTAGTGCAGAAGCGGAAACTGAGGCCCACGGAGGTGCAGTGATTTGCCCAGGGTTGTCCAGCTAGTAAGCAGCAGGGTTGGGATTTGAACCCGCTTCTGCCTGGCTTGTAACCTGTGTTCCTCCCGCTGCACCGTGGTGAACTCAGGACGGGGAGTCGTGCGATGTGGCGGCTGGAAATATAAATGCCGCCTTAGACGATGTCAGCAGAAGCCAGTATCTGGAAGGGAGTGGGTGATGGCTCTGCCCTCCTGGATTTGTGGCAGCCCGGTCATGGTTCCAGAGGTGGCCGTGAGCTTGTCCCCAGCGGGCGCCTTGTCCTGGGCCTGCGCTGCGATCGCTGCTGTTCCTTACAGCCTGGCCTTCTTGCTCCTCAGGGACCAGTGAGGCTTTCATCATCCGCTTTGTTTGCAATGATGACGTTTACCCAGGAACCCCCACATTCCTGCATCAAGACATTGACTCGCGCTTGGGGATCCGAAACACTTTCTTTGAGTTTGAAACTGCGTTGGCCTGCGTCCCTTCTCCAGTGGATTGCCAGGTCACGGGTAAGGCTGGGAGGACCGGGAACTAAGAGGCCGGTCAGAAGCGTGTGTGCACGCACACGCGTGAGTGTATATGTGAATATGTGGTGCGTTTTATTTTAGAGGCAGCATGCCATTTGTGTTACACATTTTCTTTGATGCCTAAGAGTTAATGCTTCTCTTGAGAGAATCTGGGAATATAATTAATGGCTTTAAGCTCTATTTTGGGATCAGAAGCTACTTAAGAACAGAGAAGAAAACTTGGGGGGAAGAAGTCAAATACACTGTCAGAGCTGCTTATTTGAGGATGAAAAAAAGAAAAAGGATAAAGCTATGTGAGGTGTACCCCAGACGCTGAACGGTGTCTCCAGGGTCCCTCGTTCTCTGTGTGTTGACCCTGTATGTTTGCATCGATCGTGCTTCATTATGAATGGCAGTTTTTGAGCAAAGGGTCAGAGTAGGTATAGGTTTCTGTAGGAAAAGCCCCTCAGCTTCCTGTGGGTCTCTTCATTTCTAAGTTATGAATGTCAAGCTCGTGCACCATCAGTCTTCAGTTGGGGTTGCAAGGTGGTGCTCCAAAGCTAACAAGAAAGCAGGCACATCCAGCGTGTTTCCACTGCGTTTCAGACCTTGCTGGAAATGAGTACGACCTGAGTGGCCTAAGCAAAGTCAGGAAGCCTTGGACTGCTGTGGACACCTCAGCTGATGGCAGAAAGAGAACTTTCTACCTGAGTGTGTGCAACCCTCTCCCTTATATTCCTGGATGCTATGGTGAGTGTGTAGCATTTGACTCAAGTTTCGTCTGCCTCCCCTCCCACCCCCAACCCCACACGCATTTCCCGGCTCTTCCAGGCAGCGCAGTGGGGTCTTGCCTGGTGTCGGAAGAGAGCAGCAGAAACCTGGGCGTGGTGCAGATCAGTCCTCAAGCTGCGGCGAACGGGTCCCTGAGCCTCGTGTACGTCAACGGCGACAAATGCGGAGGAAACCAGCGCTACTCCACCAGGATAACACTCGAATGTGCTCACACCTCGGTGCGTGGGGGACGATCAGTGCCTGTCTTGTCTGTCCCTTCCCCATGTCCCTCTCATGTCTGAATCTTCTGTCTACTTTAAAACTTGCCTGTATTTTCATGGGCTGTAGGCCATCAATAGAGTTTGACTAGAATGTACTATTTCCCCCCAGGTCTTATGTGGTTCGTAAGTACTATGTATTTTTCTCATGGAGGTTTAAAAGTTGAATATGAATTGTGGCTATCATTTGGCTGATTTTTTTTTTTTTAAATAAATGAAAACAAAGTAAACTGTTGGTTTCTCCTATAGGGCTCGCCAACATTTCAGCTTCTAGATGACTGTGAGTACGTGTTTGTCTGGAGGACAGTGGAAGCCTGCCCTGTTGTCAGAGCAGAAGGTGAGGCCCAGGGCCCAGCTCACTAATGGTTGTGAATGTATAAAGTAGCTGATATTCTAAACAGCACCTTAGAGGGGAAACCCTGTAGTAATGGCCACACGCGTGATCATGAAACGCTTACTAGTGGACAGAAAACTTTTTTTTTACTATTATCAAGGGAATTATTATTTTTTCAATTATAGTTGACATACAATATTGTATTAGTTTCAAGTGTAGCAATTAGACATGGATGGATAATTCTTATCCTTGGTTCTTTTACTCCAACTTTACCAGTGGCATTTTTCTCACGTACCTGGATTGACGACGGGTCAGTGGCTTCTCACACTTGAACACAGTAACATGGGGTTTTGTTCTGTTTCGTTTGATTAAGTGAATCTTCATCCTGTGACCAAGGCTATTCTAGAAATCTGTTTGCCAGGCAACTTGTATTTATGTATGGAGCCAATATGAGATTACGTGGAAATCACATTTAAGGTGGCGCTTGCCTGATTAAAAATTCTGTAACTTTTTGCTTCAAAGTGGGAATGCGTGTGTAACTGATTGCCCTTCGCTCCTTGTATGCTTTTGAAGGAGACAACTGCGAGGTGCAAGACCCGCGCCGTGGCAACTTGTACGACCTGAAGCCGCTGGCCCTAAATGACACCATCGTGACAGCCGGCGAGTACAACTATTACTTCCGGGTCTGTGGGAAGCTGTCCTCAGATGTCTGCTCAACCGCTGACAAGTCCAAGGTGGTCTCATCGTGTCAGGAAAAGCCGGGGCCACAGGGATTCCACCGCGTGGCAGGTACCATGGTTTTCCTTCTGCTCTTGTTGCAAAGCAGCGGGGTTACATACTCGTATTTAAGATGTTCCGCTGAAGGGTACCTCGAATTCTTGGGCAGGAAAAGGAAGCATGACTGGTGTGTTCTCGTGAAACAGTGTATCAGATGTGGTTTCTGGTATTCTTAACCAGAATACATGCTGACGAGTGCTGTCAGCGTTCGTTTCATTCTTGTTTAGCAACACGAGTTACTGACTCTAAGATCATATTTCTTTTCTTTATTGCAACATTGGGACCCACTGAACTAGCCAGAAATGGGTGTTCGGAGGTAGTACTTCCTGTTCTAGAATTGAGTCCAAGCGGACATGCTTAGTACAGGGTTGGGCTGTAAAACTTGTAGGGCTGGCTGTTGGTCAGCATGCTCTCTCAATAGCTGGGAAAATGATAATAAATTTAAGAACCTTTAAGAAAGAATTTGAAGTGGCTGCTGTGGTGAGTACGTGGGACGTCCTTAGGGCCACAGAGAGGAAGTGACACCCTCATAGCTAATCAGGCCGAGGGGTGTCTGCCTGTCACCTTTCCTGTGGTTAGTCTGTAACGGTGCAACTCTGGGTGAGAGAAGCCTGGTCTTATGCTTCCTGCAGAGTGACACGACCGGGAGCGGGTGGCACAGTGCCGGTAGGCCAGGCATCCTCGCTGTGTGTTTATTCAGGGTGTGTGACGTAATGTGTCGGTTACGAAAAGCATGGCGACCTGGGGACTTCCTACACTGATCCTTGTTTAATTAGCTGCTTCTTGAACAGGTCTCCTTAATCAGAAGCTGACTTATGAGAATGGGTTGTTGAAACTGAATTACACCGGGGGGGACACGTGCCATAAGGTGTACCAGCGCTCCACAACCATCTTTTTCTACTGTGACCGCGGCACCCAGAAGGTGAGTGCTCGGAGCCCGCAGGACGTCTCCGGGGTGGCGGGGGGCCTGCCTCACCCTCACTGCTGCCGAGGTCTTTTTTTTTTTTTTTAAAGGTTTTATTGGGGAATTGGGGGGATGGGAACAGTGCTGGGGAATTGGGGGAGGGGAACAGACAAGTTGCTGTCCTTTTGTTCTTCAGTCTAGTTGTGGAGGACGTTGCTTCACTGGCCCATGTTGGTATTATCATTGCGCTCTTCCCTGGTGAGACAGTTGTTCGCCGGCCATTGGAAGGCCGCTCATGGCAGCTCACGCCAGCTGCTGGCCGCTCACGCTGGCTGCCAGCCACTCTGGTAGCTAATGGCAGCCCACTGCAGCTCCACTGCAGCCTACGCCGTCTCTGGCCACTCACGGCAGCCCAGCTCCAGGTCGAGCTGTTGTTCACCATCTTAGCTGTAGAGGGCGCAGCGTCACTGGCCTTCATGTTCAGGGATCTGAACCGGGGCCTTGATGCCCAGAGCTGGCGTCCCAAGCCAGCTCTTAACCAACACGTCACTTGGCCGGCCCTGCCGTGGTCTTTATAAACCCGAACCTGCTCCTAGGTCTCATCAAATCTCCCACTTACCTTAGTTTCAATGCATCATTTACAACACATATATTGAGATCTTGATCCATGTGCATAGATTTTAATGAACCTAAACTCCCCTTACTGGTTTTGTCCTTAAAACTCAAAGTAGACACTAATGGAAGTGTCCCATGTCATGTGTGTGTCTCTGACTTTTCCAGCCGGTGTTTCTCAAAGAGACTTCAGATTGCTCCTACTTGTTTGAGTGGCGGACACAATATGCCTGCCCCCCTTTCAACCTGACCGAATGTTCCTTCAAGTAAGTTAATGCATGTGTTGTTAATGCTTTTGGACAGTCGAACACTTGATAGGATTTTTGCTTTAATGGTAATGGTCTGGAGGACGGGGTTAGATTCATCAGGCGATTTCTCTATGCCTGCCTTCCTTAACAGTAAAATGAGGAGTTGGATTAGGTTAACTCCCCAAACCGTCACAAGTGAAAGCCTGTGATTACCTTGTGTACCGTGTGTTGCACATGGGGAAGTGGTTGGAGTCGAACCAGAAAATCTTGCATGGTTCACGGGTGTAAGTGGAGGAGAGTGACCAGGATGTCACCTGGCCTGTGCGCCTCTCCTTAGACTCTGCTTTTCTGGGGACACAGCAGTGAAGAAGGCATGGAGAGCGTGATGGCAGGTGTGCACAGGCTGGGCTGTCAGCATGAGGGGGTGACACCCAACCTGCAGGTTCTCTGTGGCCGTCACTGGCCCTCGGCCTGTTCTTATCTGGGGCTCACATATGCTCCTGAAATTGGGTGCTGGGCAACTCGTGAGATGAGGCGGGGAGGTCTTCACTGTGTGTGAATTTCAACAGTCAACCTCACAACTATTACAGTGTGGATATCTTGGGTCCCATCCCTGGCGAGTTTGGCTGTGTAGGGCTGCCGTTCTGAGCAGTTGAGGGACCTGCTGACAGTTCTGTGAAGACCCACCCCGAAAAGAATTGCCAAGTTACAGCATCCTGCCCTGGGGGAAAATTTAGTCATTTCCACGCTTCCTTCTAGTCTTGTTGTGTTACCTCCTTGTATGTAGGTAAAGTAGTAATTTTTGAAATTTTAGTAATGCACGAGTATGGAAGTGCATCCACTTAGCAACTTTAAATCATAATTTAAGTTTAATAATGTTACCTGTTCCAGTTAACGTTTCGTAAGCATTTCCATGTGAAACAAATTCATCTCTCATTCCGAATGAATGGGTGCTGCTCTCGCGAGTGGACGGCTCTAATTAGCTTTTCTCTCACCGTCATGTGAGACTGCCTTCAGCGTCCTGATATTTGTGTGTGTACAAGGTATTGTTTCGATATTCTTTGTACATAAAGCTTTTTACCCAAAAATATTTTTGCTAAGTATTTAAAAGTAGAATCAGGTCAAAGGAAAGTTGAATAATTGGTTCAGATGGAAGTTTGTACATGTGTCTTGTAATAAATTCATACGAATACAAGAATGTCTGTGATGAAGTAAGCTTCCCCCAACCCTTTTCTCTCACCTCAGCCTCATTTCACTTTTTACCATATCTTCTCGTAGTTCCTTCTGGAGCCTTCCATGACTAACTGATACATATACCCCAGTTTGTCAACCTCAAATGGGTAGTGATCTGTCTTAAAAGACAAGAAATGTAATTCACGTATGCTATTCTCCTCTCCTGTCTACCCAGCCCCGCTTTTGTTTGTTGCATTTTTATTTCTTTCATCGGCTACCTTTAGAATATTAGATACTATACTCCAAGATCTATTTCCTGTTACGTCACCTTTAGACAACATCTCTTCACTTCTCTCCATGTAAGGTGAGGGTCTCAGAGGCTGCCTCCTCTGTCCCTGCTTTTCCTCTCTGCTGTCACCTTCCTGTCACAAACTGTCGCTGGCACATTGTCAAGGTTTAGAATATTTATATTATGTTTGGTAACTCTAACGGTCTTTCCTCCTTTATTCATAGGGTGATTCTAAAGAATTAAAAACTAATAAATAGCATTTACAATATTGGGTAGACATCATTTACTGCAAAATTGCATGGTGTGATTGGACCGGCAGAGAAATGGCATAATCCCGTGTCCCTTAGCCTGCCCTTTTGGAAGCACAACAGGCTGAGTGTTTAGGTCAGGAGGGTCCCATTCCTCCTGTCTCATAAGTTACTCCAAAGAATCATGCCACGTTTTGTTTTGAGTCATGTTTGGAACTTGGCTATTTCGATAGCTTTTTTTTTTTTTTAGCTGAGCCATCCTGCCACCTGTTGGCAGCTCAGCGGTAGCTCAGCTCAGGCCGTGAATCGAACCGGGTTGCTCAGAGCTCGCACTCTTGAGCGAGCTCTTAATCAATTGAGCCACCCAGCTGGCTCAATAGCTTTTTAATCTTGACATTTTGTACTATCTTTTTTTCCTTTTATTGTTGACAGAATAACATGCTTTCCCCTTGTATCTGAGATGATCTGGCTCTTTGTGATGCTGTGTGGACGGTGAATCATGTCTTCCCAAGGAAAGTCTGTGGTTTCCAGTTCTGATTTCTGGTCCTCTGATCAGTGCTCATTCTGGGATCACTCTGGGCTTGGATCCACACTGCTTCTTGGATTTATGTCCTTTTTCGTTTTGTTAGCGTACATTCTCATATACTTTAGAAAGGCTGGATGGGAGATAACCCATGGGTTTTCTGAAAATGCCATTGTTTTGCTCTCAGATCTATGAGATTAGATATTCAAAATAATTTCCCCACAATTTTGAAGGCATTGCCTCATTTTCTACACGTACCTTGTATGGCTGGTGAAAAGTTTGTTGTTGGTCTTCTGTGTTTGTGTTTTTCCTCCCATTCTGGAAGATTTTCTGAACTTTTTCTACCAACTATCCTTTGGAAATTTATATTTTAAATTTCTAATGAGTAATTATCTCTGAGGATACTAACTATAGCTTTTTTTCTTTCTTTTTTTAAAACTTTATCATCCATTCCCTGAATTATAATTTGTTTTCTTTCAATGGTTGCCTTAAATATATAGCCTTGACTTAACAAAATCTGAAGTTAATCAGTACTCTACCCATCTCTTTCGTGATAAAATGACGTGGAACGTGTTAGCACTAGTAATTTCTGCAAACTTCATAAGATGGTGATTTTTACGTTATGTTCACTACAGTATCCCCAGCTTGCATGTATTTTCTGGATGAACGAGTGCTTTTCATCCTCCTCTGCTATGCTTGGATCTAAGGAAGCGGCTCCTGTGAAGCGGTTCCTCCGTCTTCACCTGGACCTGGAGCTCCACGGGGACCAAGTATTGGTCTTCACTCACCATTAACTGCACCTGGTGTGGGGTTGGCTCTCAGTAACTGTTGGCATTCCGGACTTGTGTAGTAAATAGACCTTTAGCCCAAGCAGAGGGGTCAGCACCGGCCTATCTTAGTTTCAGTGACCGTTGGTGGCCTCAGGTGGTGACAGCAGGTGGCCTGCCTGAGAATGGTCTCTGCTGGGGGCACTCCTTGTGTGTTAGCTGTTTCCTCGTGTCTTCTCCCTGGGTCTCTGGATGTCTGTTCCATCCTGAGTGTGGAGAGCATGCACTGTTCAGGCTTGGTGTTTAGTGTGGGTTTTCTTTTTTCTTTTTTAAATATCTAATTTTATTGAACACAGTCTTGAAGTTTCCTGAACTCAAGTTGTTGCTGATTCCGACTGGAGGTGGGAGCGGTCTGGTCCAAAGGTCTATCCCCGGGGAACATCTGACGCCCAGGATGTTGGGGGTGGACTGCGCCCCTCACCCTGAGCCTTTCCAGACGGCATCGGTTAGGACACAAGTGAACCTATTTCTCTGTGTTCTCTTCCCTACAGAGACGGGGCTGGCAACAACTACGACCTCTCATCCCTGTCAAGGTACAGTGACAACTGGGAAGCGGTCACAAGGACAGGGGCCACCGAGCACTACCTCATCAACGTTTGCAAGTCTCTGTCTCCTCAGCCTGGCTCGGGTAAGAGGATAAGAGGACTCTTGGTGGGCTGATGGCCTGGAGTCCGTTTGCGGGGGGAGGCCGAGTAGGAGCAGCTCCTGTGCAGGTGCCTTCCTCTCTGACATGAGTGGTTTGGCCAAGAAGCAGCAGGCAGCGCGAGGTAAGCATCTGAACGACCGGTCCCTGGTGTGCCCCAGGCTCAGTCAGCGCGGAAGGCTGTGCTGGGAAGGTCGTAGCCTTTTGTGAACATGAGGAGGTGGAAGTGGGTGGACTTAATCATGGTGGCAGGTAATTCTTCCCAGCAGGACAGGAGGAGATAAGGGGCTGTGAAACGGGGATGGTGCGTGCCCGTTGCGTTTATTGAGAGTAACTCGGGTGAGTGGTCCTTTTAGGATGCAGGAGCCAGCTCACCCAAACCTTAGTGCCGGTGGTGAGACTAGAAGTCAGTTGTCCCTGTGGGACCAGGAGCAGTCCACGGTAACCTTGGTGCCACCCACGGCCTCTGGAAATCCTGAAGAGGCAACTTGTCTGTTTTCTTGGAGTTTTATACAGCCCCACCCACATCTTCTGTGGCTCAACTCAAAGGGGGCACCGTTTTTCACCTAAAGCGGTTTTCATCCTCCGCATGGTTTGAGGCTGTGGGCCCGATCCCCTTGCTCTGTGCTGGGCAGATTGGTGACACCGTGGCCTTAGCCCAGGAACAGAACTTGAGTGCCCAGGGCAGGTGGCGCAGACATTTTGGGGCCCAGGAAGTCAGAGTTCTTGGTGACTTTCTAATTAGAGACAGCACACGAATGTACGCCATTTAAAATGTGCCTTTGGCTGTATGTATTATAGCTTCGTTGTATTTGGGGTTCGGAAGTAATTCAGGCTGTTAACACCTTGGATTCCCCCCATATCCCATGCCTACCCACGGTCCATCTCTGGTCAGACGGCATTTAAATGAGCAAGAGAACTCACGTGGTACCATTGTCGTCTGATGTACGTAAAAGGAACAGATAATTTTGGAGGGACTGTTAGAATCATGCAGCATGTTTGACATCCCTCACCAGGTTAAGGTAAACCCTGCACTGCAAAACGACCCAAGGCGACTTCCTGTGTCTCGTTGTGTTGCAGAGCCATGCCCTCCAGAAGCGGCCGTGTGTCTGGTGGGCGGCGCCAAGCCTGTGAACCTTGGCAGGGTGAGGGATGGTCCTCAGTGGAAAGATGGCATCAGTGTCCTGAAGTACACTGATGGCGACCTGTGTCCAGACCACGTTCGGAAAAAGTCGACCACCATCCGATTCACCTGCAGCGAGAACCAAGTCGTAAGTGACATCGCTTTCTCAGCCCTGGTGCTGCAGCTTTGGGGACAGTAGGAATCAAAGGGTCACTGATGTCTTACTTCCCTTCGGGTGGGAGTTGGAGAGCTCAGGATGACTCGGTCTGTCAGCCGGTGGGAGGGTGGCATCGCATTGGCCTTGCGGTTCTCTGGCTCCCGAGATGCCTGACCTGGCAACCCTGGCTTCAGAATTCATTGGTTCTCTTTAAAGTTTCACTCAGGTCCCCAAAGGCTGTAGAGAAAACTGGTAGTTAACAACACACCCTTTGTCTCCACGGAGGCCGCCTGGGCAGACCAGAGGGTTGGGCGGACCGGGCTCAAACGCTGCACTCTCACTTGCCACCTGGTGTAACTTGGTTAATCACTTAACCACTCAAAACCATTCACCCATTAATAGCACGAGACATGCCTAACTTGCTAAGTCTCTGTGAGGGTTAGAGAGAAGAGGTGTCAAGTGCCAGCTGTCGTTTCTGGGTGTGGTTGGTGTGCAGTACACAGGGCTGGTCCCATCCCCGTGATGTGACTGATTCCTTCCCGGGTGGGTTGGTCTTGGCAGCTGAGCAGGTACGGGCTATGTAATGGTTTCTTGGGACTGTTTTTCACCCCAGGGACGTGTCCGCGTGGGAGGTAAGGTGAAGCCCCATGTGCTTTGTGTAAGATCGGGGTTGTAGCTGGTTTGGGAATAAGGCCAAGTTGGACCAGCCCGCTGCATGTCAGGACGGCTTGCCCACTCTCTTGAGCTGTGTCTGGCCAGCAGTGGTGGGGGAAGCCCAGGGCCCTGGGGCTGGCCTTCTCGACGGGAGTGGCCACTGAGGCTCCTCTTGGGAAAACTGCGCAGAGGCTTAGCCTAGACTTGTGAGCCGCTGGGGTCTGGATAGATCCTCAACTCCTGAGCTGAGCCGACAGGTTATGGCAGAGGAAGCAAGAGCCTAGCCTGTGACGGAAACGTGCAGGTGGCAGGAGAGGGTTTTTGCACGTGGTGTCATGAGGCTGGACTGCAGTGTGGCCATGTCGCGGCCTGGCAGTCGGCATGGGGTTTATCGGTGAGGGGTGAATTGCTGAGTGAATCTCAGCAACTCTGAGGTGGAAGAGAGGCATTGCAGATGCGGACAGGCCCGGGCCAGTGCAGCTGGGGGATTCGTAGAATGACTGACAGGTCTTCGTTTTGTTCAGAATAACAGATTTCTGTTCATTTGTTTATCAGAGTGTTGCCACTTATTTGCTCATTTGTGACTCACAGTAGCCCTTTGAGCATCTTTGTCCAGCTCTCCACAACCCCTGTCTTACTGTCTTATCTCTAGGCAAGCCTTCCTGGTCCCCCAAAGCAGGTTTCGGCTCTGGGGACGTCTCACTGACCCTGCGTGTGTGTGAAGGCTCCAGTGTATCTCAGGGACAAATCCTGACCCTTTGCTTTTTCTAATTCTGCCCTCACCCGTAGACATCAGGACAGAACTCTCATGTGTCTGTGGAGTGCTGCCGAGAAGTCCCCGTCTGCTGCATGGTACACTGTTACAAACATCACATGTGTGCCCATTAGCAGCTGTCTGTGCTTTGTTCCTAGAACTCCAGGCCCATGTTCATCAGCGCGGTGGAAGACTGCGAGTACACTTTCACCTGGCCCACGGCAGCCGCCTGTCCTGTGAGGAGCAACGTGCACGGTGACTGCCAGGTCACCAACCCCGCCACAGGTGAGACGCTGCCAGTCACTAGCCCCCCACAGTGAGGGATCCAATGTGAAACTGGGCAGCAGGGACCCCCTAAGCGACAGCACTCTGTCCTGTGTGTGTGTGACTGGCCGTTTCTCAGCGACCTGTCCAGTCTGATGACGCGTGGTTCCCCTTCATGAGAGCGGAGACTAGCCGTCTCCCGAAAGCTGTGCTCCCCAGGACTCCTGTTTCTGAGCGTGCCAGTCACACCAGCTCTAGGATTGCAGAGCTGGCTGAGTCACCGTTCTTGTTACCTTCAGAGTTAGCATGGGGCAGCGAGGAGACCTCCAGTGAACGTCTGCACTGGGGACCCGGGAAGGTGCTGCGGGCAGGTCATAGCGGTCGGAGTGATGCCACTGGGGCCTCCCGCATCCCACTGGAATCCTAGTGGCTTCTGTGGCCCAGCTCCAGGAGGAGGAGGATGCTTTGAGCTGCTGTCTTCTGGGCAAAGACCAGCCATCTCAGAAATTCGGGGACCGATGGCCTTGTGATATGGGCTAGGCAGTCAGGAGCATTTTTAGGGCCACATCAAAGAACGGGGTGGTGGTTTATGGTGAGAAGTCAGAAGTCCTGACGGCCTTTGTGATCCACGTGTGAGCACACTGGTGATGGGCGTCTTGGGTCTCAGCTCTCTGGAGTCACTGTGTCCCCATCCCTGTCTCCTTGCAGGACACCTGTTTGATCTGAATTCTCTAAGTGGCAGAGCTGGATACACTGCTGCTTACAGCGAGAAGGGGCTCGTCTACATCAGCGTCTGTGGGGAGAACCAAAACTGCTCCCCTGGCGTGGGTAAGGGCTGCGACTTCCTGCCTGACGTCTGCCTCTCCCATCCCCGAGGTCACGCTCAGCGTCCCCATTCCTCTGGCAAAGGGGCTGAATAGAAGCAAAGACCTAGCAGCTTCCTCTTTTGCAGCCGTCAGCTCATGTTGGGGGAAATCGGTGGCCACGTGATGTGTAGATGGATAGTAGATGTGTAACATTTGCTAAAACCACATCGGACACTCAGAATTACGAGTGTTAGCTACGAATTTGAAAGTCTGGATTTGCAGGAAGTTCTCATCAGAAACTCAGTCATTTGAATCCCTAATTGTGTGTTTCCCCCCCCCCCCCCCCCCCCCCGCTTCCACGTTTGGTGCAGGGGCCTGCTTTGGGCAGACCAGGATCAGTGTGGGCAAAGCCACCAAGAGGCTGATGTACGTGGATCAGGTGTTACAGCTGGTGTATGAGGAAGGATCCGTCTGTCCTTCCAAATCGGGCCTGAGGTACAAGAGTGTGATCAGCTTTGTGTGCAGGCCTGAGGCCGGGCCCACCAACAGGCCCATGCTCATCTCCCTCGACAAGCAGACGTGCACACTGTTCTTCTCCTGGCACACGCCACTGGCCTGCGAGCAGATGGTGAGTGTGGGGCTGGGCACGGGTGACGTCTGAGAAATGCATGCCCGAGGCCTGGGTGCGCCCAGGTGTCATCACTGGTTTTACCACTGTTCATTTGACCCCCCAAGCAGGCACCCAGCGTATCTCATCCACCCCTGATGGTCCCAGCAATAACTGGTTCCAAGTGCTCAGTGTTACGTAACCAAGCGTCTGGGGACATTAATTCACCCTTTGTGCTTTTGTTGTTGTTAAGCTTTTAAATTCTTGTGGGTGACTTAATGGAAAATTTTACTGTAGACTCCAAAGAGGTCTTTCCTTTTTAACAGCCGGAATGTTCCGTGAGGAATGGGAGCTCCATTATTGACTTGTCTCCCCTCATCCACCGCACTGGGGGTTACGAGGCATATGACGAGAGCGCGGACGAGTCCTCCGACACCAACCCCGACTTCTACATTAATATCTGCCAGCCGCTAAATCCTATGCACGGGCTGCCTTGTCCCGCTGGAGCCGCCGTGTGCAAGGTGCCGGTTGACGGTCCCCCCATAGTAAGTGTGGGAGATCAAGGTGGGGGAAGCAATTGTGGTGAGATTTGTAACAGTAACCTTCATGTTGTGTCCCTTGCTTCCAACGGAGAGTTACTCAAGCAGGAAGAATGGAAAAGCGAGCCGGGATGATGCATGTTCTGGGACTATGGGCGAGACATGTCAGGGTTTGTGCATTGAGCTATCAGCTGATGATGATAAGTAGAAGGTCTTTGAACTGTGGAAAAAAATGTGAACACACATGTATAGATACACTGTTTTGTATCACGTTAGGAGTCTCAAGGTTGACCCTGATGGAGAAGTTTTTATGTAACGTGTAAGAAAAAATATCGGCAGAGCTTGGTTTCTTTGAAATGTAACGTCTTGTGTCATTGAAAGGCTTGTGAAATGCAAGCATTTCCTTTGGTAAATGATGATAATTAAGGGCAAAAGTGGATTTGCTAATAGCTAAATATTCTGCGTTGAAAGCCTTGGTTTTATACTAGCATTTTTCTTCATGAGTTATATTCATGTTTTGTCAAATCCTTGGTAGGTTTTATTATTTGAAATGCAGCACAAAAGTGGTACTTCCATCTATATTCTTTAAATAGTAAGCCCTGTCATAAGATATCTAGATGTCTGTTTAAAAGATGGACGTTATCTGCGGCATCGTCACGGTGAAACGCTGGGAGTTGGCAGGGAAATTGGCCATGACGTGAATTTAACAAAGCCACAGCTGCGTGGGGGTTGGAGGGCCTGGATAAAGCACATTTTAGTGTCATCCAGTCTAGCAGTGTAGGTTGGGGCTTTGATGTGTGAGTCATTCTCCGAGAGGCTCGATCTGTATTTTATTGGCCGGCTACCCTTTTTCAGATTTTAAAAATTATAGTACATTCTCTAACTGGAGATGGTGTTGTGTTGTCGTGGCCGGAACACGCCCCACAGTGATGAAGAGTGTCGCAGCGTCATTCTCCTCACACACTCATCACACACGCACATACCCTCTTGGCCGTTCACCCGTCTCATTCCTAGGTTCATTTGCTCAGAAATACTGAGTGAGCGGCCAGTGTGCGGCAGGCGCTGTGCTGAGCAGTGGGAGGCAGCGGAGAACACGCTCTGGGCCCCTCCCTGAGGACGGAGGGGGTGGGGGGAGGGGGGCACTGCCGAGTAAGCGGGCAGTCCTGGGGCAGTGCCGGGCGTGAGGAGCCAGTCAGCGTGGGGCGCACGTACAGGGTTCCTGCCTCCCACCGTGGTCACAGAAGACCACACAGCATTCTTGATGTGGCTGGAGGGAGAAATTTCTATCGCCTGGAGTCTTTGAAAATTGACTCTGAGTAGAAATAGAACCATCGTTACTAATCACAGGATCAAAACTGATAACCCCCGAAACACTGAATTTTCTGCGTAGCGTCCGAATGTCGACTTGCCAGGTCCTCACTGCTGTTAGCCCAGTTTCTTTAGGTGCTGCTCGTGTTCAAAACTGATGAGGTCTAATTTTTGCAATTCTGTATGAACCTGGGGAACAGCGAATTTCCTGAAATGTTTGCATTTTTCTCTGTTTAGGATATTGGCCGTGTCTCAGGACCTCCAATACTCAACCCTGTCGCAAATGAAGTTTACCTGAATTTTGAAAGCAGCACGCCCTGCTTAGCGGACAAGCATTTCAACTACACCTCCCTGATTGCCTTCCACTGTAAGAGAGGCGTGAGCATGGTGAGTCAGGGTGCCGCCTCTTTGCAGCCTGGAATGCGAGGCATGGATGAGTGGGCCCAAGCTGGAAACCCACAACGCGTGGTTCAGAGCTAAGGATGCTCGTTTTCACAGTATCCGCCTTGGAACACACGGTCCGGCAGCAGAGCACCGTGTGAATGAATTTAATGAATGAATGTAGCAGTGAGTAAGCCCGCCCTGAGTTAACAGAGCAGGTTTTGCACATACAGGCTTAGTATAATTTAAAAACATGAAAACTTAAGTGTGAGTGGCATTCAACTTGGCCTACCAATGTATGGAAGGGTCATAATCTTCTCTTTTTTTTTTTTTTATTATAACATGATGGATTCTGTTCTTACTGGGAAGTCAGACTTTTGACAGCTATAATCACCTTAAATTCAGAAGTTAGCCAGCAAAAGAAGACCCTGGGAATCAAACTAGGTCCAACAGAGTTGTACATTTGATTTCTGAGGAGGTTATTAATTTTTAGTTTACATGCATTTGAAAAAATAATACTGGCTTCTATGATAACTAGTACCATTTTGTTGTAGCGTTTTTGCATATGCTTTCTCTTGACCTTCTCTGTGAAGAAGAGATAAATTAGGAGAGTATGGTCCGCATTTCTCTGTGACTCAGAGCAGCTGTGTGATGTGCCTGACGCCACACACCTCTGCAGTGGCAGCCAGGCCTGTGCCTGCTGCTCAGGGGGAGAGCTCGGGTCCACACAGCCCGGCTCCACACTCCTCACCTGTGCATCAGTCTGAAATTTACAGTCTGATGGCCTGAATGGGCTGCATTTATCTCACGTAATGTGAATATTTGTATATTTCTTGCTGTAGAAGTATTAATGTACTTGATAATAGGAGTGTGTGTGATGAAATAGAAACATGTATTCCAAATTGCCTCTTGAAATCCTGAAAATGATGAATTCTAAGGCTCAGCTAGGAGTTCAGGTAATGGGCGGTGGTTCTCTAATGGGTCTTATAATTTCAGTAAGGTGACTTTCTGGGCCTGTAGCAGGTTTGTAAGGGGAGGGCTGCCAGAGATGAGTATGTTGACAGTGGCAGGAAGTGACCTGGCAGCAGCCTGCCAAGCAGGGACAGTGCCGTAACAGAGAAGGAGGAAAGATAAGTGATTGCCGCCTGGGGCCTCTCCAGCAGAGGCCCCTCAGAGCCGTTGGACAGGCCCCCTGCACATTGTGGGGTGTGGGGGTTATCTTGAGCTGTGTGCTGTCAGCTCCTTTTGTCTCTCCGTAGGTGTGTCTGCGTGTTTGTGTGGGTGTCTTATGAGGAACTCTTGGCTATCTCACACAGCCAGATAAACGGTGTGGGCCTGCTTAGCTCTGACCCTGCTGGCAGAGCCACAGGTCGGACGTGCACTGGGCATTTTGTCAGTTCTCTGAGCAGCTGCCCCTTGAGGCTGATCAGCATTTAAGTGCTTGTGTAGAGATGAGGGCTCCCACACTGAAAGTTTATTCCAATTTTGGAAAGATTTTAAAGCAATTTTCTTCCCCTGTGGTTTTTATCTTTAGTGGAAATACTTTTCCACTTGAGTTTCTAGAAAAAAAGATCCTCAGCAGTAATGAAAAATGTAATTCCCCGGTTAGCTGCCTCATCTGTTTTTGTGGCTGTTGTTGACCAAGGGAATAAATATGTGGATTGCGAAGCCTCGGTCAGGCTATGGACTATCTCGCCCTTATTATAAATATCCTGTTTCTAGAAATGCTGGAGCCGAGATGCCGCTTGTGCTCGCATCAAAGAACTCGTGCAGTTCCTTCCTTTGCAATGGCGGCGTCTCAGCTTCACACACTCTGTGTCATGGCATTTCCCCGCCCCCCTGAACCAGTAGCAGGGAGCATTGAGTCTCTGTCTCTCTCTAAGTACAGGGGACTCTCTGGAGGGAGTCAGAGGTCCCAGGTGTCCGGCGGGCCGCCTGCCAGTGCTGTCAGCACAGTATTGGTTCCTTGCAGCCGATGATGATGATTGTCCATCTCTTTTGCAGACAAGCTGCTGTGGGTCACCCAGAGCACCCAGCGGTTTGCAGCTGTGGCAGCAGCCCCTCCCCCCACGGCCCCCCTGGCAGGTGTCTCGGTGCTTACCGGGGCTGGAGAGCAGCGTGAGGATGCTGTGCTTAACCCACGTGGGTTTTTAAGATCCGTGTTCTTCTTCTGAACAGGGAACCCCTGAGCTGCTGAGGACCAGTGAGTGTGACTTTGTGTTCGAGTGGGAGACCCCGCTTGTCTGTCCCGACGAAGTGAAGATGGAGGGCTGCTCTCTGACAGACGAACAGCTGTATTACAGCTTCAACTTGTCCAGCCTTTCGAAAAGCACCTTCAAGGTAACGCCGCTCCCCAGGCCCGGCGATCTCGGGCAGCGGCCTGGATTCCTTCTGCTACCCACTGTGTTCTAGGTAACGCGACGTCTGTGACCACTGCAGGACATGTTGCCACCGAGGCAGTGCATGGAGGGATGGCGGCGGTCTTAGCCCTGTCCTGGGGACGTGGGTCAGCCTGTCGGGGTTCTGGGCTCTGTGGCTAGCCAGCCACAGCTGACGCTTGAGTTGTATGCCCTGGTTCACAGTGTTCTGTTCCTTAGGGCTTTGTGAGGATTAGATGGCCCAGTGATGTCATCAGGGGGACCCTTCCTATCGCAGATGAAGAACAGGAGGTGGCTCGGGACATGCTTGTGACCACGTACTCATAGGGGGCAGGGCCAGGTCTAGTGTAGCTGGCCGAGGCCACGAGGAATGCCACTTCGCATTCAGCCTGGCTCTCAGAGAAACAGGCTGCTCTTTTACTGACCATAGAGGGTGGGTGTAGGGAGCTAGGAGGTCCCCCAGACTTGAGATGTATTTGGGCAAGGGTGGGGTCTTTCTTGCTCACAGTCTGAGTGTCATGGACTATTTGTTACGTCGATGAGGCTGTGGCCATCTCGGGTCACTGCTGGTTGGGGGACCCTAGAACTCTAGGTCTATGATCTAGTCACACATCTGTGGGCCATGCCCACGAGATCCCGGCGCCTCCCCGGGAACAGCAGCTGGTGAGTGGTCAGCTTTGAATCATGTGCCCTGGGTCCTGTAACAGAGACCTGGCCTGGGCACAGGCCCTCCCGACAGGTGCACAGCAGGTGTGAGCCTGCAGAGGCCAGGGCAGGCGAGGAAGGTAAGGTACATGTTTCATCCTGGAGTGTCACTCGGTGCTCATTAACTCCGTCCTCACCACTACCCGTGTTACAGGCGGGGAGACGTGGCTTCAGGAAGGGGGTGAGCAGCCTGAGTTCTCACAGCTGGCTCCCTGCCACAGGCCCCCCATCAGTGCATGCTGCCACCCGGTGGGGGCGGAGGGAGGAAGCAGGCCAGGCCTGGGATGGAACGGGTGTGGGCCCTTCCAGTGGCTGGAGGGAGATGCCCAGAGAGTGGGCAGGGCACCACCCTTCTGACGAAGGCCAGGACAGGAGGGAAGGGAAGTGCGCTCCGAGGCCCCAGTGCATGGCACCAGGTGCAACCCCGCTTTCCTGCACGCGCCACCTCCCTGCGCTGCTGGCTCTCTCCACCTGGAGACCCAGCCACAGCCATGCATGGTGTCGTCTGTCCAGGTGACTCAAGACTCGCGCACCTACAGTGTGGGGGTGTGCACGGCGGCGGCGGGCCTGGACGAAGGCGGCTGTAAGGACGGAGGCGTCTGTCTGCTCTCAGGGAGCAAGGGGGCGTCTTTCGGACGGCTGGCGTCCATGAGACTGGACTACAGGCACCAGGACGAAGCCGTCATTTTAAGTTATGCCAATGGAGACACTTGCCCTCCAGGTGAGTCTTTGCTGCGGGGGGGGGGGGGGGGGGGGTTACATGCTTAGTAAACGTGAAATCAGGCCTGGCTGCGGGAGAAAGATGAGGAGTGACATTACAAATCCCGAGCGCTGCGACCTCGGATTGGACTGTGGGAAGTACGTCCTGACAGCCTGGGGTGGGAGTGCTCAGGCCCTGAAACACAGTCTGGCCTATGAGCCGCCTGTCACACCGGAGGGAGGCCTGGCGGTCCCAAGGGGGGTTCAGGGCGGCCCTCGTAGGGGAGCCTCGCCGGGCGGTTCTGGGTGTCACACTGGGCAAAGCACAGCCTGCGTGTGTTGGCAATGTGGGTCATGCAGATGCTCTTCTTCCCAGAAACCGAGGACGGTGACCCGTGTGTGTTCCCCTTCATATTCAATGGAAAGAGCTACGAGGAGTGTGTTGTGGAGAACAGGGCGAAGCTTTGGTGCGCCACCACCGCAAACTACGACCGAGACCATGAGTGGGGCTTCTGCAAACACTGTGAGTAGGCTGTGCGTCTGGCACAGGCTGGTGAACAGTCCTGTGAAGCTCACATGAGCGCCCCGAGTAATGGCAATAATTGTGTTGCACATCGGTTTTTTTTTTTTGGTTAGGGCTATTTTCTGTAAAGAAAGGACATTTGTCATCGTTCTGTGGGATGTACTGCATAACCGTGTAGGTAGATCACTGCAAGGTCAACACCCACGCGCTGGGGGCCCCCTTACTCGCTCAGAGGGCTTGTGTTCACACACCAGTTTTCAACACTGGTGGTTCAGGTTCATGCCTCAGCGAGATGGTTCCTTGTGCTGGGTCTGCAGGTGGAGGAGGGTAATCGTGATTAGCTCAGGCATCGACTTGCTGCTGTGTGGCAGGCCCAGGCCAGGAGCTGGGGGTGTCGTGGCGAGGCACACTTAGCACCCTTACGCCTGCGATGTTTGGAGACTGGTGACATGAGAGAATCCTACTAGTGTGTGTGGGACCAACTGATGTGAGTTCCCAAGGAAAGCGAGATGAGATAAATGCGTAAAAAATTATTTAATTCTTGTACGTGATCAGGGAACAAAATCATATGTATTAAGGAATTCTAAATGTTACATTTACCCGGGACTACTGTAGTTTTGTTTTGAGGCTTATTGTGACAGGACTTTTCTCCCGGTCTGTTGGATGACATGCCAACATTTTTAGATAATTGTGGGTCTCTTATGGTTACTTTATTTTTTGTTACCATTTGTGCGTTAATCAAATTTGAATACCTGCCATCAGGGAATTGTACTAGTGCTGTGGGGTTATTAAGAAGTAGAGTAAGAGATACTTGGTCTATTTAGGGTTAAGATGTACCTGAATGAAACAAATGAGATCTGGCTGGGGCACCCAGAGAGGGGCAGGCAGTCCCTGTTAAAACAGAGCAGGGCGGGAGGAGGTTGAGAGACAGGCTTTGTGTGGTCTGACCCTTTTCCCGCGTGCTGCTCCCCAGCAAACAGCCACCGGACGTCTGCTATCATCTTTAAGTGTGACGAAGATGCTGACATTGGAAGGCCACAGGTCTTCAGTGAAACTCGTGGGTGTGAGGTGACATTTGAGTGGAAAACAAAAGTGGTCTGCCCTCCAGAAAAGATGGAATGCAAATTCATCCAGAGGCACAAAACCTACGACTTACGGCCGCTGTCCTCTCTCACCGGGTCCTGGTTCTTTGTCCATCAAGGAGCCTCGTGAGTACCTTCACCACTTGCCAGAGATGTCATTCCCTCAGGAAGCGGGGGCCTGCCTTTCTTGATGATAGTGGGTCATGGTGGGTTACCTGTGATTATAAAGTGGGCCTGCCACGTCAGTCTGAAGCGGGGAGGCTTGGATGCCTCTGGCTCCGGGGAGCAGCCCAGAGGTGTCAGGTGTGGTGTAGAAGGCAGTGGTGAGCACAGACAGAGCCTTCAGAACCCGAAGAGGCAGGTGGTCAGCTGTTGGCCTGATCCAATTAATCTCGATTTGATTTATGTTTGTGAGGGGTTGCCGTCCGATGCTGGGTTTCTGGGCCGCGTGTTAATTTCTCTGCCCTCGGGCACAGACTCCTTAGGCTCTGCCAGCTTGGGGTTCATTAATTGTGCCCACAGTTCCATGCGTGAGGTGCCTGCTCTCTGCCAGGCACCCTTAGTCCTTAAGTGTTCGCCTCAGAGCGGGTGTCAACTTGGAGCACTTATGTCACCTTGAGTAAAGTGAACGACTCACCAGGATTTGAGCCGCTGCCTGTCCCAACTTGAAAGCCCCTTGGGACCATACGTCGTCTCAGGATTTGCCCCTGGGTGCCTGGCCGACATGCCCCTTTATCAGTAGACAGCACTCCTTGGTCTCTCTGCAGCTGAAAATGTGTTTCAGTGCTGTAGTCACAGGCGCCGCGGGACCCATGGTTATCGGAACGGTGAAAGGAATCATTCTGGAAGTAATGGAAAGGGCTGTGCCCGAGTGTGTCAGGGCCAACACTGACCTTTCCCCGGCCCCATCCCTTTGTGTCATTTCATAGGTACTACATAAACCTGTGTCAGAAAATCCATAAAGGGCCCCTCGACTGCTCTGACAGAGCCAGCATTTGCAAGAAGAGCACATCTGGGGACGTGCAGGTCCTAGGGCTCGTACACACGCAGAAGCTGGACGTTATAGGTAAGGCCTGGATCCTAGTCACGCGGGTCCAGGTGCCGCGTCTGAGCGGGGAGGGGGGTGTACCCGAATGGCCGGGAGGGGCCAGCATGGCTCTGGGCGAAGCTTTGGGCACCAGTCGCATGACCAGCGCTCAGACATCCTGGCAGCTCCTGGAACAGTCAGACACATGCGACTTTGCATTCCCTGATGACAGCCTCTGAGCATGTGTGTTCAGAGAGTCCAGCTCTCTATGGAACATTCTTTGACCCAGGAGGAAGGCAGACAGTTTAGGGTTCCTCTGAATCCTCGCTCCAGTGGGGGATTGAATGAGTTGGTGCGAGAAAAGCGAACAATCACACAGGAACTTGGTAAAGATAACTCCGGGGTACTTTTTTATAATGCCTTAACCATTTGGGAGGTAATACCGGAGCTCTTTTTAATAGTGTTCATAGAAAATCCACCTTGCAGTGAGTTGTTGAGTGGGAGACCCTACCTTTCATTGTGTAAAGGATGAAAGTCAGCCTCACCTAGTTTAGGAATAGTCGGGTGTGTTGGGGGGACCAGCAGAGAGGAAACATTCACCTTTGCTTGTTAGACGAGAGTGGGGTCCCCGAACTGCCCTGATTGAACCACAGGTGACATGAGTCCACTTGAGGTGTTGACATGGAGAAAGGGGATTCCGAGGGAACCACTGTCACCTTTGATGAAAGTCAAACCAGATTCTGCAGGTTGGGGAGGGGGGAATCGCCCCCTAGGTAGGAGTGTCTAGTGCTCTCGGCCCACAATTTGCCCTCCTTTGGAGGTTTTAGCTGTTGCTGCCATGTCCACCCGCTCACAGAGGGCTTGGGGCTGGAGGACAGCTCCTCCCCGGCCATCTCGTGGTCACGTGTGGCTGTTGGACCAGTCTTGTCTTTGGCTTCCCAAAGCCAGCTGAGAAAGACTGGGCTATATAAGGCTTCACGGGAAGTCTAGCCAGCAGTAACTTCCTGGTCCCCAACACACCAGGGGACATCTTGCTCTTTAGCCCCAAGAGGACAGCCATCTAAGGACAATCACAGTGACCCCCATGTTGTTTAGGGGTGCACCACTATGGGGGTGGAGAGCTGGACTCTGTCCCAGGATTGAGCGTGTATGTGCTCTGTGTTTTGTGTGTGTGTAATTCTCAGCAGCCTCACGGGGTGAGCGTCAGAGCCCACTGCACGGTGTGGGCCGCTGAGGTGTGGAACCATGAGTGTATAGCCCAGCAAGTGTGGGGCGTCTGCATTAAGGCTGATGCTTGTTTGGTTCCATACTGCAGCCATTTAAGAATTTCTCCTTAAAGTAACGGAACTCTTTCTTCCAAAATTTTACACAGAAGCCCGATATTTAAAACAATTCACCCGCGGCTCAGCTTAGAATTTGGGCGGGACTGAGGGCCTGGGCCTCACCAGCACCCGTCGGGGCTCAGCAGCCCTGGTATCGCGGGCCTTGTCCCGTGCAGAGCCCCCGGGAAGCTGGCACCGCAGCCCCTACTGTTGGCTCTGCATCTCCTGCCTCGGGCGTGCCTGTGTGAGAGCCAGTGGACTCAGGACAGCACCAGGTCGCCACTCGCAGTAGCTTAGCTTAGCACCTGCGCGAGAGGTAACCTGGTTCTCACCTTTCTTGTAGACCCTGCAGGTAGGCGTCGAAGCGGTTTCTTTCACTGCGTTATTTTCAGAAGCAGAAAAAGCTCAAGGCGAAGCCAGAAGACGTGAGAACAGCAGACTTGTCCTGTCTGGCTTTTCTCTCTGTAGGGTGCAGGTGTGGCACCTGCCCTGCGATTACCGGGGGGCCCAGATGAAGGGATGTGTTGGGAAGGCACCTGACATGACACAGAAATTGTACAGAATTGGTGCAGCGCTGACAGCTGCTGTTAGTTGAGGTCCTGCGCTGTGTACACACATGTGCAGCGCTTCCCACACTCCTTGGAACCGGCACACTGCGGGGAGTGTCCCCGTGACACACGCGAGGAGGCTGAGGCTCTGAAGGCCACAGCCGGAGTCGTGAAACTAGTGAGCGGGAGGCTGGGGTTTGAACCCGGGTCTCCTCCTGCCGTGTGAGTGGTGGTGCGGCCAGGAGGCCGTCACCGGGCTCTGCCCAGGGGCTGGGAACCTGGGCGATAAGTTTTCAGAAAGCCAGACATCTCTTCTGTCCTGGTTCTTAGTATAGATTTTCACTTCTGACAGTGAAGGCGTTTATAATGCACTAGAAATAAAGTCCGTCCCATCATTTGTGTATTTCAGATGACAAAGTCATCGTAACTTATTCAAAAGGTGATCAGTGTGGTAAAAATAAGACTATATCCACCGTCATTGAATTGACCTGTGCGAAGACGGAGGGCAGGCCTTCATTTGAGAGGTGAGCGTGTGGGGACCTCCCAGGGGGGCCATGGAGACAGGGTACCGGGAGCTCTTTGGAATTTCTCTACGTGGGTTTCACTTGTGGGGCTGTGAAGGTGTGAGCGGGGAGAAGGTGGGCACAGCAGGGAGGGGACTGGCTGCTGAGCGTTAGGGCCTGGGCTGGGCGCCAGGGCTGCTGGTCGGCCTGTAGTGTGCAGGGCTGCTCCACCCAGGAAAACGTGCCCGGACACACGGTTACTAGACCGAAGCCACCAAGTAAGGCGGTATTTAACTGGCTTTCGTCTTTGAATGTCCTAGAACCAAAAGGGCGTTAATTGGTGCCAGTCAAGGCCAGTGTTCAGGTGGCCTGTCTGGGCCCCACCAACGGGTGGGACCTGTACCTGGTACGCTTTGGGAATATACTAGAATTCTCCAGGCAGCTCCACATCTGCTGGGGGGAGTTTGGCCAGCAGAGGGAGCATGTGAGCTGCTGTTGGTGATGACGTGATTCCTCCCAGAAGCTGGGCTTGGACAAGGGGAGACCCAGGAATTGTCCAAGGGTTTGATGAAGCCACGAGCCTAAAAAGCTTGTCAAATAAAAATTCAGAAATCTAAGAGCAAATTTTTTTCAGCTTTTAGACATTGCAGTTTCTAACTTTAGAAAAACTGTATGAAGCCCTTGCCTACTTTTTCACATTGCTGATGTGCTAGACGGTCTTGAGGGAAGTAAATAAAATAGCCATGATGGCCCAGAGCTGCTGCCCGTTACGGGAGGGACAGGGGAGGGCTCAGCGGTTGGGGGGCTCTGTGGGGCCCTGGGCTTCACAAGGAATTGGGCGCAAGGCTGTGTGCTGCAGGCCCTCACGCAGCAGTGTCTTGCTGGGTGTGACCGCACCCCTGCCACCGCCTCCAGGTTTGACGCTGACAGCTGCACTTATTACTTGGGCTGGGACTCGCGGGCTGCCTGCGCCGTGAAACCGCAGGAGGTACAGATGGTGAACGGGACCATCACCAACCCTCTCAATGGCAAGAGCGTCAGCCTCGGAGACATTTATTTTAAGTAAGTGAAACGTTTTCTTTTGAGCACAGCCATGTATTAAAAAATAAAGCAGTAATTCAGATCTTGCCCTAGTGGGGAATGCTGCAATAAATAGGCTGTGTGTCTTAGTTACTGTTTCCAGGTAGTCATCATAGTTTGCTTAAACCAAGGGAGAACTATTACTCAACTATTGAGTTTTAACACCAAAAATGGTGAATTTTCTCGAGTGTAAAAATAAAGTTGCCCAGTTCTCCCTCGCTTTATGATAAGCCAAGGGGTCGAAGCCCAAACCTTCTGAAACAGTTTTTGATCAGGAATCTGTGGGCTTTTCAGCTTGTGAAAAGAAAGTCAGTGGCTTGGCGTTGTCATTGGGCGATTCTTGGGGTCCTGTGGCCAAGGTGACTGGCCTTGTCTGCTGGCTGTGCCTGGGGCAGGGGCAGGGCAGGGCAGGGTGGGCTGTTGGAGGAGGGCGCAGCTGCTCAAAACGCAGAGCATGGAGCAGTAGGATGACGGGGATGGTGCCTGCCAGAGTCTTTGTGGGCTCGTGGACGTGCCACCCAGGCTGGGAACACAGGACAGCAGCGTCCTGCAGCCCTGTGGTTGTCCCTAGGACTTTGGGTCTGTAATGAATGGTTTTCTTAAAGGGCTGCCCTAGTCACTGCCATCTTTTCTGTCTCTTCAGGCTGTTTAGTGCCTCTGGGGACATGAGAACAAATGGGGACAAGTACCTGTATGAAATCCAGCTTTCTTCTATCACAAACTCCAAAAATCCGGCTTGCTCTGGGGCCAACGTATGCCAGGTTAAACCAAATGACCAGCATTTCAGCAGGAAAGTCGGAACTTCTGATAAAACCAAATACTACGTCCAAGGTAATTTCGTTTTCCCATTATTGTTCCATAGTTAACTTCCTCGAAGGAAAAGCTTTAAAATTTTGGTGAACCAACCCTCTTCAGTTGAAATCTCAGGCACATTTTAAAGCAAAAGCCCTGGTCTGATTCTGTCTTGATATGCATTCGTCAAAATGGATTGAGCAGCCTGAGCTTCGGGGCTGCCCTCGGTGGGCATGTCTGCCTCCTGCACTAAACTCCCGGGGCTTCTGGCTGCGCAGGTGTGAGCTGCCTACAGAGTCTGGAGGAGGCTGAGTGCACACAAGGCTCCCTCACTTCTGACACCACCTGCAAGCCTGGGGGGCTTCCATCGCCACCCTCAGGTCCGATAATTCACTAGAAGGACTCACGAGAGCTCACTGAGAGCTGTTACAGTCACAATGATAGTTTATTACAGCAAAAGGACCTAGATTAAATCAGCCAAGGGGAGAAGCATGGAGGGCAGGATTCAGGAGGGAACCAGGTGCTCCACTGTTCTCCTGTGGAGTCGGGGTACGATGCAGTCCCAGTGTCAGTGTGACAACATGCTTGGAATATCGCTAACCAGGGGAGCTCAGTGCCCCTTGGTGGCCAGGGCTTTTATTGGGGCTCCATTGCATAGGCTTGGGTGGTTGGCTGGTTGGCTGACTGGCTTGCTGGTGAATTGGTTGCTTGTCTGGTTGGCTGATTGTTTGGTTGGTTGACTGGTTGGCTGGTTGATGGGTTGGTTGATTGTTTGGCTGGTTGGTTGGTTGGCTGGTTGCTTGGTTGCTTGGTTGGTTGGCTGATTGGTTGATTGATTGTTTGGCGAGTTGATTGGTTGATCACTTTCTCAGACCTTTCTGGGCAAGGTCTTTCCTTCACGCTGACTTAAGGCAGGGGCTCCATAATATGTGTTAAGTGGCCTGTGAACAAGAGCAGACGGGACATTTAATGAAGGACCCTTATGCCTGATTTTAAGTCTATGTGAACTTTTTACAGACTCTGAAAAGATAAACTCAGCTTGTCCTTGAAACATCGATGATAATGTTGCTGTGGTTGTGTGTGCGCCTTTCTTTCTGACAGATGGTGATTTAGATGTGGTGTTTACCTCATCCTCTAAATGTGGACAAGATAAGACAAAATCTGTCTCTTCCACCATCTTCTTCCGCTGCGACCCTTTGGTGAAAGATGGGATCCCTGAGTTCAGCCACGAGACTGCTGACTGCCAGTACCTCTTCTCCTGGTACACCTCTGCCGTGTGTCCCCTGAGGTAAGTGCAGTGTCCTGGGGTTGGCCGGAGCTGGCTGCCAGTCACTTACCTCTTTGGATGGATGCACACTTAACCAATTGTACCCTCACCTCCTCTCTCACAACTTAGCTCAAGCATAAGTTCATATGTTTCTCCCAGTGTTTTATTATGGAAAGTTTTTTTTTTTTAAAGATTTTTATTGGGGAATTGGGGGGATGGCAACAGCACTGGGGAATTGGGGGAAGGGGAACAGACAAGTTGCTGTCGTTTTGTTCTTCAGTCTAGTTGTGGAGGACGTTGCTTCACTGGCTCAAGTTGGCACCATCATTGCGCTCTTCCCGGGCAAGGCAGATCAGTCGCCGGCTTCTGGACGGCCGCTCACTGCGGCTGCTGGCTGCTCACGCTGGCTGCTGGCTACATACGGTAGCCCATGGCAAGCCACTGCCACAGGGGCTGCAGCCTACGCTGTTGCCAGCGACTCAGGGCAGCCCAGCTCCAGGTTGAGCTGTTGTTCAGCATCTTAGCTGCAGAGGGCAGTGTCACTGGCCCTCATATGTGGGGTCCGAACTGGGGCCCTCTGGCGTCCCAAGCCAGCTCTTAACCATCGCGCCACTTGGCCGGCCCTGTGGAAAGTTTTTTATGGAAAAATGTTTATTATAGAAAGCCTCAAAGGACCAGAACCTTTTCAGACCTGTCAGCCATATCTCTCTTGTGCTTTAGACTTCCCATGAATGAAATAGAAGTGTAGCCAGGAAAGGTGTTTTTTTATGGAAAGTTTTCAAACATACGCAAAATCCAGGGAAGTGATAGAAGTAACCCCACATAGCCTGTACCCAGCTTCAGCAGTTCCCCGTGTCGTGCCCTCTTGGTCCACTCCACATCACAACCCTGTCACTCCCAGGGGCATCGGCCATCTGCCTTTGTGCACCCCGGGCCTCGAGTGCCTCTCCCTTTCCTTACATCTTCCTCAGCTGATGTTTCCCTCAGTGGCTCCTGGGAGGTGGAGGCGACGCCCCATCTTCTTCCGAGCACATCTTTTCTTTGTGTTCTAGTACAAATTATGTGGTAAACGTCACTTTACTTCAGTGAAGCACTTGTACGTTTGCATAAACGGAAACGTGGGCTGCAGATCTTGAGAGTCAGCTGTAGGCCAGGTTTTCATGGGGTGTATGTATACGTTTCTGCTCTGACGCCTTTCTGGTGAGAAAAGGGCGATCACAGCCTCCATGTGGCCTCGGGGGACCTGCTCTTCTCAGTCCCACAGCTTTTGTTCCTTGGCCCAGTGACACTATCATATTTAGAGCCCCTCACCCAAAACAAAATGTTATAAATTGCTTTCCTCTTGGATTTGTTTTCTTCCTGTTTCATCCAGGCCACCATCTTACAGAAGCTTTGCATTCTGTGTCCTGAGACTTTAAGGTCCATGTTCCTTAATCTCCTGAAAAAGGGATCTTAACAGTCAGCAGAAAACGGTGGTAGGGACAATGCAGGGAGATTCCAGACCATCTAGATGTTAAATCAGTTTGGTTTTTACTTTCTATGGGTGCTAGCCCAGGGGGGGAAAAAAAAAAAAAGTCAGCTTTGTCCTAAACTTTCTCGGAACATGGATGTAAGGCAAGCCTCGACAAACTTCTAAATGTTGGTGCCTTATAAATAACATACATGATGCAATTAAGTTAGGAACCAAACAAGAAATTAAGTGAAAAAGAGAAATACATTTGGAAACTAAAACACCTTTTTTTTTAAAAAAAAATTTTTATTAGGGAATTAGGGGATGGGAACAGCGTTGGGGAATTGGGGGAAGGGGAACAGACAAGTTGCTGTCGTTCTGTTCTTCAGTCTAGTTGTGGAGGACGTTGCTTCACTGGCCCAAGTTGGCTCCATCATTGCGCTCTTCCCGGGCGAGGCAGATCGGTCGCCGGCTTCTGGACAGCTGCTCACTGCGGCTGCTGGCCGCTCACGCTGGCTGCTGGCTACACACGGTAGCTTATGGCAGCCCACTGCAGCAGTGGTTGCAGCCTACCCGCTGCCGGTGGCGACTCACGGCAGCCCAGCTCCAGGTTGAGCTGTTGTTCAGCATTTTAGCTGTGGAGGGCAGTGTCACTGGCCCTCATGTGGGATCTAAACCAGGGCTTTCTGGCATCCCAAGCCAGCTCTTAACCACCCTGCCACTCAGCTGACCCTAAAACACTTTTAAATAATTCATGTGGAAATAATTTTAAATAATTCAAAGGTGGAAATGAAAACATACTTAGAACTGAGTGCTAAGGAGCACGTCCCATCAAACACTGGCTTGTCTGAAGTGTCCCTGAGTGTCCTGGCTGGTTCTGCCTCAGCTGGTTCCTGGCTTTGGGGGCAGAGCGCCCACATGTGTCTGTTGTGTAGACAGTAACAGACGCATCCACGCTGGAACTTAACTCCGCCCTCTGAGGGTTTGGAGCCCAGACTGTTTGCCTCAGGCCGAGTTTTGATTAGAGCAGTTATCTTGAGGTCAAGTCATTGGCTGCCCTCTGACCCAATTATTTGAATTAAATATTTTTCTGAATGAATAGCCAGTGTCTTCAGCACCCAGCTTCAGTACGTGCGTGTGGCTTCCCTTATCCCAAACTGTCCGGATCCCGCCGCCGTCCGCCTTCTTGGGATGGGGGAGGATTTCTGCCCGGCGGTTCTGTTACTGGAGGTCTGGTGACCCTGAATGACAGGGCCAGAAAGACTACAAGTGTCAAGTCATTACTCAGATGTCTAGTTCTCTGAGCAAGAAGGGAAGTCAGTGAAGATGTTTCTAATGTTTTATTAGTTCTTGTGCTTGAATGTTTAATATGGAAATACACTGCTTTTCCTCACACGTGGGTGGGAATTGTGAAAACTTAGCTGATTGAACAGCTACTGTGTTTGTCACTAGCCCTGCCTCCTGGGTCTTAACAGGCCTGGATAGAGAATGGCTCGATGAGGTGTCTGTGCTGTGCCCGGCAGTGGCCTATATAGTCCCCTGACCCCTGTGAAGCACTGAGCCTATGTCCCATGATGGGATATTGGGAGGGAGAGGCTGTTACTCGGCTACCATCACTTTCTTCCCAGAGAACAGGGCTGTGAGTGATCCTGGGAGATGAGTGCGGCCAGCTTGTCCCACTAGGTCTTTGCTTCATTAGCGCCTCTGTGTCCTGAGAGCCCTGCAGAGGGACAAGCAGGGACAGAGAAGTGTGTTCCTTAAAGCTCGGCTTCTCTTGTTCCCTTAATAATGGTCCAGGTGGCTCGAGGCCGTGTCTCCCCGCCTGTTTTCTGATCCTCCTGCCTAAACTCCTTATCAGAAGAGTTGACCAACGCTGGTCCCCTTGTCGGGCAGCTTGGGTTACGGTGTGGCCTTTGTACAGTCAGGCCCCTCCCTGAGTTGGGGAGCGCTGGCGTCTTTGCTGTGGCGGCAGTGTCCCCGAGTGATGTGGCTTCTTTCCAGGATGGGCTTAGACGACGACAGCGCTGGAGAGGACACGCCGGAGCACAAGGGGCTCTCGGAGAGGACCCAGGCCGTGGGGGCGGTCCTCAGCCTGCTGCTGGTGGCGCTCACCGGCTGTCTGCTGACACTGCTGCTCTACAAAAAGGAAAGACGGTGAGGACAGGGAAGCGGGTGGGCCGCCCGCCAGGGCTGCAAAGGCGCGTCCTGGGCTCGGTTCACTCATTTGTTTTTGAGCCCAACAGCCACCAGACTCCTGAGGTTCCAAATGAAAACTACGGCAGTGGTCCCCAGATGTGTTTTATATTGTATGTGTCTGCATTTCTATGACAAGCTGTCCCGTTTGACCAGAGCCTTGAAACCTATCCCAGGTGCTCGAGTTGGGTTTTGCCGCTCATGTCACATGGCGGACGCTTTGCGGGCTCTTGGCCTGGCTCACCATTACAGGACATTGGTCTGGATGTATCCAAAGATGGACAGAAAAGTAAACACCACCTGTCGTGAGCAGGCTTCCCATGTAGTCTCAGCACAGCCTTGGTGTTCAGGAAGGTGTGGTCTCCTGGCATTCACACCTGGAAAAGCAGAAGCACCAGTGTCCAATATCTGGCACTAGAGCCGCTACACCACTGAGAGGTGGAGCAGGATTTGAGTCCCGTTCTGTCTGATTCTAAAGTGTCTTCGCCTCTGCAATGGCTCCTAACCCCGCCACCGTGGGCGGGTTGCTGGTGGGGGGCACAGCCGTCTCTGTTAGCCGGCACTTGAGGGGCCACAGCTGGGAGCGGCTGGCCAGCGGGACCCTGCTCTGCCGGTTCCAACTAGATTGCCCGTGGTTGGTCTCTTACAGGGAAATGGTGATGAGTAAGCTAGCCAGCTGCTGCAGACCAAGTGCAAACGTGTCCTACAAATACTCAAAGGTAATTCCCTGCCGCCTCCCCTCCCCCCACAGTAGCGCCCGGTGGATATTGTCACAATGGCAGTCAGTGACGAGAAGAGAAATGTCATCCCAGGCACTTTGAAAGAGACGGGGGGAAACATTATCACCCATTGCTTTTAACCCAAACACATTTTTGCCTTTTTTTCACTCAAGTTTTTGTTACTGTGCTTGCAGCTGATTTCCTTAGAGCACTTCATATTTGGTTGGCTCCTACTTTTTCGGCCACATGTATATGTATTCTAAAAAAAATATACAAACGTGCTAATGAAAATTTTGGTGCATCTGGCATTTGGATGGTTTTCTTCAGATACATTTCCAGAAAAGAGGCATTATTTGGACCGCAGGGCATATTGCTATTTGCTGCCTAAGTGCTTTCTAAAAGGCCGGCCTCAGGTGGACTCCTCTTCCTGACGCATGTCCCCTCCCCGCCAGGGCCCCCGGCCCTGTACGTGACCGGAGGGGCCCAGACTCGCTGCCCGCTTTCCTGCCCCGCGTGACACTGTCTGCCTTGGTTGAGCCTTAGCAGGAGCTGGTAGTGCAGCCCTTGCCTTCCTCTCCCAGGGGGACCCGGGGCCGTGGCGGCTGTGGTGGGCAGGGCAAGAGGGCCCCCGACTCAGGTGGGTCATGGGAGGAGGGTGGTGACGGAGGAGCAGCACTGGGTCTTGGATGGGCCCCATGGGCTGTGCTTCGCCCCCGGCAGGTCAACAAGGAGGAAGAGGCGGATGAGAACGAGACCGAGTGGCTGATGGAAGAGGTCCAGGCGCCGGCCCCGAGGCCCCGGAAGGAAGGGCAGGAAAACGGCCACATCACCACCAAGTCCGTGAAGGCCGAAGCCCTCACCTCCCTGCACGGGGATGACCAGGACAGTGAGGACGAGGTCCTGACCATCCCGGAGGTGCGCGTGCACTCGGGCAGAGGGACTGGGGCCGAAGGCGCGGGCCAAGTGAGACACCCACCGAGGAAGATGCCCCGGGAACGGGCGGACGACAGGGCAGGGCTGGTGAGAGGCGGGAAGGCGAGCCGGGGCGCGCCCAGGCCTGCAGCGCCGAAGCCCGTGGACTCGGGCAGCCTGGCGTCCTTCCACGACGACAGCGACGAGGACCTCTTGCACATCTGAACTCCCGGTGCCTACAAGGGGACGTGGGTCGGTGGTATAGCCAGGCACCTCCAACCAAATAAGACTTCAACTCGATGATGCTTCTATCATTTTTGCCTTTAACAAAAACTGTTTCAAAAGGGAAAAGTTTTTGTGATGGGGGAGAGGGTGAGGAGGTCAGGCACCGCTCATCCGTGATTGATCACAGTCATTGGAATGGGGCATCACTCCAGTTGCCAAAGGGCGGTGTCAGGGGCCCCGGGTTTTGTCCCAAGTCCTCATTTAAAAGCATGGCTGCTGTGCGCTTCATAATACGCGCCAGGGCCAGCTGCATCTGGGAACCGAGGGCTGTATTTGAGAAAAACCCTTGCTGCTTTAGGCCCTATAGGGTATTTGACCATTATATTTTAGCATTTAATTCTCTCCTCCTATTTATTGACTTTGACAATTACTCAGGTTTGCAAAAAAAGAAAAAAAAAACAGAAAAAAAAAACAAACAAACCACCCAACAGCTTCTTCCTGTAGGCAGAGGATAATGTACTAGCTCATCTGTTGTCAGAGGGAAGCTGTCGGTGTACTGGGTTGGTTTCATACGAGATTTTGAACTAGTCAATCATGTATCCTCTAAGTTAGAATAATCCATTCTGTCTCCTTTCCTCTTGGCTTTCTGTTTCTGAAGGGCACGCACACGTGCACGCACATGCACGCACGGGGTCCCTGAGTGCCTAGGCTTCCGAGGGTCTGCCTGTTCTACGCCTCCAGTCAGGGACGGCTGCGGCTTTTTGCATGACATCCTTAATCCTAGGTGCACAGAGAACATTATCCAGTATTTCTTTCACCGGCTGGTGAATTCCAACAACCCACCCAAAGATTGATTTTGTGTGTGTGTGTGAGAATGGAGTTGAGATGTCAGAGAATATAACCTTTTTTCCAGATTTGGGGTATAGGTCTCACCTCTTCAGGTTCTCATGATACCACCTTTACTGTGCTTATTTTTTTAAGAAAAAAAAAAAAAGTCTTGATCAACCATTTGACCTATAAGAAGCCTTAATTTGCACAGTGCGTGACTTAATGGAAATTGCATGAAAGCCGATGGGCTGGAATCTCGCCCTAGTGTTGCACTTGGACTCTAGCTGCAGGGCGGCCGAGGTCGGGCCTCAGGGCTGCAGACGGGGCAGCTCGGCTGTCTCTCCCCACTGCGGGCTCCTTTCTTGAAGTGTTTAATGAATGACTTTTCTCTTATTCTAGAATTGTACATAGACTCAGCGGTCATCGTATACTGAAAAGCAAACCGCTCTACAGAATTCCTTGGTTTGTACTCAGTGTGGCTGGCTCATTTGATTTCAACATGAGTGTATTTTTAAAAATTGATTTCTTTCCTCATTTTTTTTCCAATCAAATTTACTGTAATATAAAGTATTCAACAATTTCAATAAAAGATAAATTATTAACTGGGTGTTACTGCTTTTCCCCCTGGAGAGTGAAATGTGCCCGAGCTCCTTGCCAGTCCGGCCGCCCATCTGTTCTCCTGTGAAGTTGCAGACGTTTGCGTTTTCCCTGCGAGCGTCCCAGCCCATCCTCCCCAGCATCACTCTGTCTTCTCGCTGGAAGCTTTCCCCTGTGTAGCTGCGTGCTCGAGCCCCACCTCGCCTCGTCTCAGCGTCACCTACATCTGCTTTTTTCCCTTTTTCCAAGAAAGCAGACTCAAAGTTCCCTGTTTACCAAAGCGACCACTGTGAGTGCAGATTCCGACGACACCGTGAAGCCCGTGCTGTGCAGCCTAGTGTCATGTGGGGCGTTGTCTCTTGTACAGAGTCCGAGTTTTCCATCTGAAATGACTGACGAGTCATGAGAGCTTCCTAGGTGTTCACACAAAAGCAGACAGAAGGAAGTTATCACAACATGAAACAACTTCTCAGAGTCCGCATCCTTCCCTTCATCTCACTGTCTAATTATCCAGTTGGAGTTACTATTTTTTAGGATTTTACAACATCTTCCCTGACAGATACTCTGGGGTCTTCTAAAGGTTTACATTATGACCCAAGAGTTGCTGGGCCCCGGGTATTGTGTACAGGGGCCTGTTCTCCAAGCCGCCCCCTTCTCACCAAGACACAGGAAGCTCGCTAGGTCAGGAGGGGCGCTCGCAGGGGGCTGTGGTGTATGGCAGGCACTTGACGCTTCCTAAGCGTAATAGATAACCTAGATTACCTAGGTAACTTACACAATCTCACCCTTAAGCTCCAGAACACAAAATAACTGTCCTTGCCAGCTGTTGTTACAGGTAGTTTTAGGAAAACATGCAAGAACAGCAAATGGGAGTTAGCACCTGATCAGAGAAATGATTTTATGGATGAGTAAACTTTGCTTTTTCGCTTCCTTTTTACGAACTTTTTGAGACTGTCCTCTGAATAGCAGAGAATAAGTGGGGCATAAGGATGACACAGGCAAACCCTGTGCCAAAGAAATCAAGGAAAGAGGAAACCTGGCTCACACGAACACTGAAAAGGCGTTCGAAACCAGTTCACCAACTGCTAAAATACACATGGCACACGAGTCCCTCAGGGAGGCTGACTGCCACCTGAGCATAAAAAATTACTTCGAGATAGTCCCATTCGTTATGTGAGTTGAAGAGCTGATGGCATGTAGGTCTTACCTCTTCTTGGCGATCAGGTCACAAGGGGATGGTGAAACTGTTGGGGGCAGGTGGTGGAGACAAGGTTATATTTATAGAAACTCCTTCAGCTCCTGAAGATTACCCATCACGCAGAGGTGCACACACACCTGAGTTCTCCAGCTGCACTTCGTCAACTTGGCGTCGTCCTCTCACGCCCTCAAGCTAAACCTGTGGTGCGTCCTGGGAGAAGGTGGTAATTAGCGAGAGAAGGGCTGCTGTGGGCTTTGGGCTGGGCACCCTGGCCGGGGTCCTGTGGCACCCGTGGGGCTCAGGCAGGCAGCGAGGTGGCACTGCTTAGGTCCAGAGGCAAGATGGCCGTGTTGAGTTTGGGGACAGAGTGGCTGCAGGGGTAGGACAGGTGAGGCTGAAGTAGGCCTGGAACTTGATGTATCATGAAAGTCGCAGTAAGGACTGGCACTTGTCTGACAGCAGGTGAGAGCCATGGAAGGGCCAGGTGTGCTTCTGAGCAAGACAGGAAACAGGAAAGGAATGGAGACACCTGAACACCCAAGTAGCTAGCCGTGGGCGGCCTTGGCTGTGCAGACACTAGAAAGCCACAAGCTCTCAGCCTGGAAGGAAGTAAAAAGTATTTTCCTTAGAGACAGAGGGAAAGGCCTACATTCGACTCGTGAATTGTTAGTTACTCGTCATTCCCTTTTCTATTTTGCATTTTGGCCAGTTTGCAAGTCAAATTCAATAAAAAATAATCTCTAATGTAATTTTGATACTCATGGTGTTATAGGAAAGTAAGACTGAACGAATGGTCCTGTTGGTCATCACACCTGGGTAGGTGAAAACATGGAGCCGTCTGCTTTGGCTACCTGGAGTCACCTGACAGCTGCTCTCGCACTGTCCAGGAGCAGACGGCCTGGGGGAGCTGACCTTGCCCTGACAGACCAAAGAAGTGATTGACAGCTGCTGCTGGAGACACGTGGAGTGAGCCCAGTGCCCCAGAAAGAGCCGGAAGGTCTCAGACAAATCTGGTGACCTGTGGCTTCAGATTGTTTTTCTTCTCTTTCTTAAATTTTGAGACAATCAGAACATACAGACAATTTGAACAAACAGGACAAGTAACTTTTCCCTGAAACATTCAAGGGTGGGTTTTCTCTCTGATGCCTCACCATCCCCGGACACTGTAGGGTGCCCTCCTACACGAGCACGGTGCAGCCACCCGACCCAGAACACGAGGGGACCCATCACTGCAGCTAAGCCTCACTCAGGTCCTGCTGAGGTGTTCCCAGCTGTCACAGCAACGCCCTTTTCAGTAAAAGGACCCCGTTCAGAATCTCACGTTGCACTCAGTTTCCATGTCTCTTTAGTTCCCTCTAGCGTAGGAAGTTCCTCAGACTTTCTTTGACCTTCATGACCTTGGCATGCGAGGTTACCCTCCTTGTCCTGCTCAGGCCCTGACACCGCTGACAGGCCACCCTCACCCATCTCACCGCTGGGACGTGCCTGTTTCGCTCTGCTCCACCTTGAGGCTTCAGGAAGCATTGGGGGAGGGGCTGCCATCGGGCCTGTGTGGAGTGTAGTTGGAAGCCACAGGCCTTGCAGACGGCCCTACTGCTCCCAGGAGCCCAAGCCGTTTCTCCTGGTCCATTGCCATGAGGCCACATTACCCTTGATTGAACCCTGTAAAGCCACACCCTTGTCTCCTAGTTTTTGGGGGCCGGGTGGGTGACCACAGTGTTGCTGGACCTTCTGCAGCCCGAGGGCAGACCCACTCTGAGCTCACGTGTTTCCTGCAGTTGTAGGACTAAAGGTCCCTGTCTGTCAGCCAGAGGTGCCCTCAGCTCCTTCCGTGTGGCCCTCCCCAGCAGGGCCACTCACTCATCAAAGCCAGCAACGGGAGAGACTCGCAGCATGACAGCCGTGACGACCTTATGTGATGTCATCACAGGAGTGGCCCCGCCATGTTTGCCACCCTCCACTGGGTACAAGCTAGTCTCAGGTCCCATGTGTGCTCAGGGCACAAGCGCCAGGAGGCGGGGTCATCGGGCCGCCTTACTGTCCGTCTGCCTCCCCTCCCCCCCCAATCTGTCCTCACCTCCTGTCGCCCCCCTTCACCCTGTTAACTCGCCGGGTGTATGGAGCATGCCAGGTGAAGGGGCGGGCTTGGGGGCTCCCCTGGTGCCCTCTGCCTGGGGCTGTCCCTTTGTGAGATTGTCCCCGGAGTTGGGGACTGCTCCATCTCTGACCCAGAGCCTAGCACTGCTTGAAATGTGCAGGGACTAGGGGAATGTTTGTTGAGTCAACAAATGAGCCAACTCTTGAGCTGATGGGCCAAGAGCAGCTTCATAGATTTAAGTGTTCTCGCTCTGGAGCAGTTCAAGTTCAGGAACACTGTGAACCTAGAAGGTTGTTGTTGCCTCCCTAAGCCTGCTTCACAGGTGTGCAGCGGGGACAGAAATAGCATCTATGATGAAGGCTGTCGTGAGGAGGAATCAGGTAGCACACGTTTGAGCCCCGAGCAGGTGCTCCAAAAAGGAGGCCGATGCCCTCCTCTTTGACAGTCACTGGTTTACCTGGCGGATGGATGGCTGGTGTCTCGAGCGTTGGCCTGTGGTCATTCACTGCTTCCTTTTCCATGAGATCCTGGCCTTCAGAGTCCTGAGAGACCGATAGAAGTGGAGTCTGGGACGCAAACACGCAGCGCTCAGCGGAGGCTCAGCTCAGGAGCCAGGCTTCGCCGTGGGACGTGGGGTCAACCAGTCAACGGAGTGTAAGCTGCAGGATTTCGCAGCCTCTGCGGCTGCAGCTGGCAGTCAGTTTGCTATCTTTGATTTATCTGGATTACAAAAAGAAGTTTTCAAATAGATCTCTTTGGAAGAGGCCTCAAGATGACTGAGAGTTGACACGGTGCCTCCTGGCTGTCCCCTCTTGCTCTGTGAGTGAGCTCTAACTCAAGAGAATTAGGACCTCAGCCTGGGTGACTCGCTTCCTCGCCAAGCAATTTGGCGGTCATCTTCCTGCCTTGCACCTGTGCCTGAAGCCGGCACCTCGGGGTAAAAGATTATTTCTAACTGGCTGGCATCCAGGTGTATCATGCTTAGACAGCAACTTGATTTCAAACCGGCCTGCTGCAGAGAAGCCCACACGAGACCTTGACCCTGGCCGCTGCCGCCGAAGTAAGTCTGATCAAAGTGATGAGGGTGCTGGCCCAGTCATGCCCACCGTGGATGATGTGCTGGAGCAGGTTGGGGAGTTTGGTTGGTTCCAGAAGCAAGCCTTCCTGAGCCTGTGCCTGCTCTCAGCCGCCTTCGCCCCCATCTACATGGGCATCGTCTTCCTGGCCTTCACCCCGGACCACCGCTGCCTGAGCCCCGGCGTGGCCGAGCTGAGCCGGCGGTGCGGATGGAGCCTGGACGAGGAGCTGAACCTCACGGCGCCGGGCCCGGGGCCGGCGGGCGAGGCCTTCCCCCGCCAGTGCCGCAGCTACCAGGTGGACTGGAACCAGAGCGCCCTGGGCTGCGTGGACCCGCTGGCCAGCCTGGCCTCCAACAGGAGCCACCTGCCGCTGGGCCCCTGTCAGCACGGCTGGGTGTACGACACGCCGGGTTCCTCCATCGTCACCGAGGTAAGAGCAGACCCTGCGTTTTGGGCAACTTGTGGGTTTCAAGGGCAGGGAGGAATATACCACAAATCTTGCAAGTTTCAGCTTTCACATCAGGGAAGAGGGTGGGGTGTTAGATGCACTGAACACAGTATGTGTTCCTGGCTGGACACTGCACGCTTTCCCGTTTAATCTTTCACAGGCTTTGGGTGTTAAGAGGAGGAGGCTGAGGGTCAGGGAGAGCGTCGCGAGCCAGGCTGAGGTGCACTGTTGGGACATGGGTCTATGGAGGGACTGGGGTTTCTCTTCTTGCTGCCCCCACTCCCTGCTTCTCCGAGATCCTACAGAATTCACCTGTGTTCCAGCTACCTCGTCATTAGAATTGTGGGCCCCCCTCCCCTTCCAGAGTCGTGGGTATGTGATAGCTAAACGCCAGCTGTGTGGAAGCTGCCCTGGCTTGAGAGTCAGCTGGTTTGAATCTCGGCCAAGCCCTGGGTTAGCTGAGCATCACTGAGTAGGGTGCTCAGCCTCTCTGAGCCCTAGTTTCCTCAGCAGGAAGCCAGGAATGATAATGGCCTGCCTCCTAGGTTGTGAAGTTCAGCTGACAGTGCTCTGTGAAAGTGCTGAGCCAACGCAAACTGAGTTACACTGGGCGGCCCCATCGGTGGCCTTGGGAGAGAAGGCAGCGGTGTCAAAGGGCCTCGCTTGGATCATTTAATGGGTTACATGAGCATTTTGTTTTGAGAATATCTTAGTAAAAAGCCACCAGATTCTTTTTCTCTGTGGACACTTTTGAAACTGTTATACTGTGACAAGTGTGGGCGCTTGGGGAGGGGCGCCATGGTCACTTGGTGAAGCCACAGGCCAGAACCTATGCAGAGGCTCTGTGTTAGCAAAGCCTGGTCTTGGGGAGGGCTCGGGTCCCCTGGAAAAGCAGGTAACACATTTGGGGCGGTTACTGGGGGAAAGCGCCGTGTCCCTTCTGCCTGATCAGCATGCTCTGGGGGGAGAGGGGACACAGCAGCAAGGCTCCTTGCAGGAGACGCAGGTGCTGGTGTGACCTGCTTTTCGTGCTGCAACATGGACACCTGGTGTCCAAGGCTCCCTCCAAAGACATTACCAGTTAGATGACACGTCATCCAAGGACTCTGAACTGTTCAGCGTTCTTGCTGGGACTCTAGAAGCAGCCCACGGCAGGGCAGTTTGCTCTCTGTGCCTGAGACATACTTTGCCTGTAAAGGATCAGATGCAGTCATCTATCTGTTCATTCGATAAACGCGCTCTGAGCTTTTCCTGGGCTCCAGCACTGGGCGTGATGCTGGGAGGGGGACAGAGAAGAAAGCTCTGAGGTTCCCTCCAGGAGTTTGCAGTCTCTGGGGAGGGAGAGAAGGAGGGAGTGGTGAGACTAAGACCATGTGTGGGCAAATGCAGAGGGCCTATGACCTCTAAGGAGGGGGTTCTTAGCTGCTGAGCTGATGGAATTTTCTGGCAGGAGGTGGCATTTGAATGGAGGCTTGGGAGGTGTTTTGAGCAGCTACAATAGGGAACGGATGGGGGAGCAGAGAGTTGCTGAGTTGACTCGGATTCAGGGTCCTGTAGAGGGGGGGGGGGGGGGGGGGGGGTGGGGAGATTGGAGAGAATGGTGGTGATACTTCAGTTTCGGGCTAGAGCACAGACAGAGTCCTTATGTAAAGTTGCCGGATACAATACAGGGCACTCATTTAAATTAGAATTTCAGGTAAATCATGAATACTTTTCAGGATAATTACGTCCCAGACATTGCATAACATTTGATACTGATAATGGAGGCAGGGAAGGCAAACATTACATGGGACATACTTATACTAAAAAGTGTTGTTTATCTGAAATTCAAATTCAACTGGGCACCCTGTTTTTGTTTGTTTTTTGCTAAACCTGGCAAGCCGACTTTGTGCCAAATGAGGGAATTTGGTCTTGTTTAGGCAATGGAGTGAGATGATCCTAGCTGGACCTTGGCAATGGTCCAAACGCAGGGTGTTGGTGGGGTTGGGAGCTCCCTCGGAGGTAGGGAGAGTGTGAGGAGGCCGAGAAATGCGCCTCAGCGAGAAATGTCAGCCAGCATGGTTGTCACAGGGATAGCAGGAAGAGCAGATTTAAGAGACACAGTCCTGGCATGGGCTGGGGAAAGGAGGGACCCAACTTGCCTGAGGGCTCTGACTTGGGGGAGGGGTGCCGGGGGCTGGTGAACGGAGCTGCTGGAAATGGAGGCTGGAACACAGGAGAGGTAGCAGTTTGGGTGGTAAGTAAGGTGGTGGCCTACGTGGGGCCGCCGTCACGGAGAGGAGGGGACAGAGGCAAGAGGACCGAAAGAGCTTTAGAACCATCTGACAACAAGGATCAGGGCTTTCAAGTGACCCAAGATCTAAGTGTTGGTGAGGATTGGGGGAGTCCTGGAAATATCCACAGAGCGGAGAGGGAGGCAGTTGCAGGAGAGAGTTCCCTGGGGGACAGGCTGCGTTTGAAGGGCCGGGGGGGATTGTCTGCAGATAATGAAGGTGATGAGACGCAGGGCTTTGGGGGCAGGAGAAATGGCTCCAGGTGGTGAGCTCCCGTGGAATTCTCCCTGACAACTGCGTCCAAAGCACCTTTGCCTCCTCATCCTACGCTGCAGATTATTCCTGGGGAATTCACCTTAGTTACTCATTTCTACAGAAATAATCTTTAACTCAGCCTTGCCTTGGCCGTTGGAATTTGCTGAAGGGAGGACAATGAGGCAACTTGTTTGAATTACCGGTTTCACCCCCCTCAGGGCCCTTGGGGAAGGAATGTGTGCGCCTGCTTTTGACTCCCCTGTCCGGATGCCTGGCCCTCTCAGCTGCAGCTCCAGCCCTGCACCAGGCTAGGGGCGCCTGGCCTTGAGCATGAGCCCAAGGTGAGAGCGGTGCTCACAGTCACTGTTTCCAAACTTGCCCGATCCTGGGGTTATCTGCATTCCTATCCATGACCTGCTGAGACAGGATCCATGGGAATCTGTATTCTAATGAACTCTGGGTGCTTCTCACGATCAGATGAGCTTGGCAAATGCCACCTGCTGCTTTTTACACATCCCAAGACACAGGCCCTGGGCCTGTTGAAGCCCAGCAGCAGTGATGGGGCCCAGGAGTACCCCCCCCCACCCCCGTTCAGCACTCCCCGCTTTGCATAGCCCCAAGCTTTCCCCAGGGTTGGCCTGTCTTCCCCGGGGTGCACAGATGTGCAGGGGTGGGGAGTGGGGGTGATAGAGGGGAGGGCAGTGGTTGAGTGTGAGTTTGGGAGTGCAGGGGGCATGGCAGATGTGCACGCCTTGCAGGTAACTCTAGACACAGGTCCTCAGTGATGTTTGGGGCAGAGTTCTCAGCGGGAAGGCCAGACGCCCCTTCGCCTAGCTCTGTGAGCCCTGGCCTCTGCGTAGTCCGAGGACAAGACAGACCCAGGGCATTTCAGGGCGGGTGGCTGGGACACCTGACAGGTGCCGATTGCAAAGGTTAGAACAGGAGACAATACACAGGACCCTGTGGCTTTAGTGAAACCTGTGCACACAGAGCATCATCTTGGGCAATGTGGGTGGGGGCTACACAGAGACAGCTGGGCAACTGGAGATACAGACCCTGACAGCCAAGTGACACCCAGAGTGATCAGTCCCTGTGTGTTCTAATGGCAGCGCCCAGGGCAGGCAGGAGGGGCTCCGTGGGAAGGCCGTGCTTCCAGCCGGAAGAGCAGGAACACCTGGATTGGTGGAGAGAATGGCAGTGATCCGAGTTGTAGCTGTCAGCCCCCCAGAGCTGAACTACTCCCGGGAGCAGACAGACAGCGGGGTCTGGGCATAAGACAGATAATTGGACAGGCTTATTATCAGTTTCTGAAAGTAATGTGGTGACATGGAGTTTTACCTGTATTTTATTTTAAAAAGAGCTCCTCTGAGGGAAGTCAGCAGCCAGTCAGACGGAACTCCAGGCTGGCTGAGCGCAGAGGCCGGGGGCCCTTAATGATTTACCTCTGGGGCCGGCACAAGGACATGACTCAAAATGGCAAATTCAGAGGTGTGAGGGTGGTGGGTAATAAAACCTCCATTTTAAAAGTTCAATGGTCTATTATTTACCAAAACCATTTCACATGGCTTTTCCCATTCAGCGTTCATAGTCGCTTTGTGAGTATGACAGGACAGGCACAATACCCGTTTCAGATGGGGAAACTGAGGCCCACAGTTGCTCAGTGACTACCCTGCCGTCACATCCCCTAGGGTTGTCTGTAGGATGGGGACCTGAATCCATAGTAAATAGGGAGGAAAGAAAGAATGTGTCTCTGCATACCACCTGAACAGGGCTGTGCCAGGAATGGGGGGGTGAGGGCCGGCTGTGCCCTCCAGACCCCCCCCCCCCCCCCCGGAGCTGCATCCTTGTCTCTGCCCCCTCTGAGCTCTAACAAGGAGTGGTGATGTTTCCACATCAGACCTCCCACCGTGCCCAGGTGTGCACAGTGCCACCCATGCTTGTGCCAGGCACATGGGACTTCATCTACACCGAACAACGAAGCCTTCCCCAGGTAGACCTGGCTTGCCTGTCCTCCGTTTCTAAGCCCCCATCATCTCGCCTTTCCTGGCTCTGGGCATGTGGCCCCTCTCAGTCTCCCCTACCTCTGGGTCCCGCTCACACACTGTGCCAGAGCACATGCTGGCCCCGAGAAGCCGCCTTCTCACCCCTGTGTCTTTGCTCAGTTTTTCTCACATTGCCAGTCACCGCTCTGTCCGTCACAACAGAATTTGCATAATTATCGGTGGAATTTACATGCTTAAATGTTTAATAAATATGTACTTAATTAAGAGCTGGAAAAAATGCTATATTTATTTTGGTACATTTCTGTTTTTGGAAAATTGCTGCGTTTCTTTTTACTTTGCTGTATTTCTTTTTAGAAAACCTACCAGCCACGCTGTCCTTTGATGACCAGCTATCAGGGGCAGAGCACTTGACAACAGCCTCTTTAATTAATATGTAGGGAGGGTCAAAGGTATTAGGCATATAATGAAACTGACTGAGAGCCACCAGAAATCTTGAATTTGTCTAGTGATGATGTGGTAAGAGGAAATGATGTGAAATGCCCAAGGACACCACATTTTGTGTGATTTGTATTCACTTTGTCCGGAGAGAGGGTGGACGGTGCAGCTTGACTCACACACGGTCTTGTGCTTGCGGCCCTTGCAGTTTAACCTGGTCTGTGAGAACTCATGGAAGGTGGACCTCCTTCAGTCCTGCGTGAACGTGGGCTTCTTCCTGGGCTCTCTGGGCGTCGGCTACATTGCAGACAGGTACGTAAAGGCCGATCCAACGGCCCATAGCGCCCACGCAATGAGGGGAAGGGCTTTTCAGGGACAGTGGTAGAAGAATGTGGCCACTTGGAATCTATTGCAGAAGTTTCTGGAGACAAGATGGTAGCTAATGCTTTGGGCTACTGTGGGGAGCAAGACGGAGGAAGGTGGAGATTTACGATGGGGATTTGTTTCGGAGATTGAAGCTGTATGCAGATTGTGTAGTTAGGGTGGGGGGCTGAGAGAAAGGGGGACAAGGCCAAGGTTTATGCTTTGAGCAGCTGGATGGGGGTGGGGCCATCTTTTGAGATGGGACAGAGTGGGTCAGGGGGTGGGAAGCCATCCAGAGTTCTGTCTTAGAAGTGTTAAGATCAGAGATGTGTTAAGAGTAGCCTGTGAGACATAGGAGAGAGGTCAAGTAGAAGTTGGATGTATGGGTTGCTCTCAGATGAGAGGTTTTCGCTAGAGTTATATATTTGGGATTGGGCACCAGTCATTGGTATTAAAGCTATGAACCGTGTTTGAGATAAACTAGAAGAGGGTATAGAGGGAGGCCTTCAACATGTAGAGGTTGGTAGGGAAGGAGTTGCTGGCAAAGGAGATTTAGAAGAAATGGCAGCGAGACAGAAAGGCAGCCACCCATTGGGACAGGGTGATGTGACAGGAGAGGAGCCTGGCCCAGGAGGGGAGTGGCCAGTCTGCGGGCATGGTGGCCAGGCGTACTCACGGCAAGAATGGCGTCAGTGGAAGGTTGAAGAAAAACGAGAGATGAGGAAGTGGATTTTATATGCGTGGACACATCTTTAAAACAAGTTGGCTGTGAAGGACAGCTGGAATGGGATGTACCAGAGAGATGAAGCGTCTGGAATGAGTAGGACGTCATCGTGGCGAGGGCGAGGGAGCTAAGGGACGTAGGCAGGGGGCCGGGCCTGAGGGCAGCGGGTGGAGTGGCCCCTGGTAGGAGACGCAGGAGACAAGAGGGAGGGGATGGGCACTGATGCCGGTGGGTCTGAATATTCTGACGGGAGACGACGTGGGCTTCAGATGAGGAGTTTCTGTATTTAGTAAAAGACGAGCAAGTTTATTGGCTGGTGTGGGTGGCATGGGGAAAGGGCAGGAGGTTTGAGGAGAGACGCTGGAGAGTAGACAAATGAAGTGAAATGTTGGAGTCTAAAAAGGAGGATGACAGAGAAAAGGCGAGCTCGCGCGTGCTGGGCCAAGGGAGCGGTCTTGGGTGTGGGCGAGGTCATTCCGACCACACTGAGGTGGGGCTCGCCCGTTCCTTACTGCGAGAGAATGAGGGTCGGTGTAAAAGGTCGATCCATGAAGCACGATGCTGGGATGACGCTTTAGCAAGTAATTGGCCCATTTCATTCAAAAAAGGAAAGGAAAAATAATTCTTAGAAGTTATGCTATTAGAACTGAATGTTTTCCCAGAAAAGCTTTCATGACCGTTGATAAGTTAGCTGTGTGGGGGAAAAGCCTGGTTTCTGGTGCACCCTGTTAAATCCTGTTAATAATAATGCAGCCGCTTAAATACGAAGGTTCTGAGAGGAGGCAAGTGTTAGAACTGGGAGAGTTGCGGAGGGAGGCCACCCACCCATGTTGCTGAGAGCGACCAGGATTCCTCTTCAGAGTGATTTGACTAACCTCAAAAGAGCCACTGTTCGCCGAGGACGGAGGCGGTTGGGTGTTCAGGTGGGGCAGCGGTACCCGACAGACCCCACTGTCCCTCAGGAAAGCAGTGACATGCACTTCCCCATGGGGACCCTTGCTTTCCCATTTTCCCATCTGACCTCGAATACGCCACACCTCCACCTCGCCTCCCTGTCTCCACGCCTCTGCAGGTTCGGCCGGAAGTTATGTCTCCTGGCCACCACCCTCGTCAGCACCATCTCAGGCATCCTCATGGCCGTCGCACCTGACTACACATCCCTGCTGTTCTTCCGCCTGATGCAGGGCCTGGTCAGCAAGGGCAGCTGGACCGCGGGCTACACCCTGAGTAAGCATCCACTGGCTTGGGGTGTCCATGGACCTTAAGGAAGCATGGAGGTCAGGTAGTAGAGTAGAGCAGGATGGAGCCAAGTGTGAAGGTGGCCTTTTTTTGGGAGAGGGGGTGTGTGTTTGCAGGATCTGGCGAAATCATCATAACTCTAGTTGTTATTTGTCGTCTGTGTGACTGGGGCAGGACATGGTGTAGGGATGGCCCCCTTTTCTTTCTTTCTTTTATGTTTTGTCTGGAAGACTCAACTCCTTAAATAAGTCAGTGTTTTCATATCAACTAATCTGTTCGGGAACAAGTACATCACATGTTAATATGTTTACAGGAGTGATGGTGGCGCAGAGAGGGGTGACAGGTGGGACTGTATTTTAACATTATAAATATGAAAGAAACAGCACCTCCCCAAAGACATACAACCAAGGCAACTGGTTTGAAGGACATTCAAGAGTTAGGAGAGCAAACATAATAGGGAATAAGAGAGGAGACGAACATCATGATTTTTTTTTTAATTGAGGTGTCCCCCTTCAATTTGTTTCCCCATCGCACATATTGAGTTCTGATCAGGCATCTAATTTACTCGCTTGCTGTGTGTATCGTGTGCCATTTTTCATGAGAATGTGAGGTTGCAAGGGCAGGACTCTGCCCACAGAGTCCATGATGCATCTCAACACCCAGAACAGGCCAGGTCCCTGGTTGGCACTCAAAGCTATTTGCTTAATTAATGAACACTCCTGGGGTCATGAAGGATATTCTAGCTCAGTCTGGAGCTTACGGAAGGAGCGCCCCATGGACTGATAATGAGAATTATAGATGATCAATGAGGGGATGAGAAAAGCTGGGACAAAACAGTGTGGTGTGTCTTGGGGAGCCTTGAAGCTGGCTTGTCAGCAGGACAGGGGGATGAAGGAAGGACTTGAGCCTGGCTGTCATTTGGGGCAGGAGAAATGGATGACACACCTGAGAGGAGTCTGGGGAGCAGGTGGTGGGGGCAAGGCTGGGGCTCACAGGAAGGGCCTGAGGACGCCCCGCGTCTGCCTTCTCTCCTCCAAGAAGCCTGGATACTGACATGTCTCTTGTTTCAGTCACAGAGTTTGTGGGCCTGGGCTACAGAAGAACGGTGGCGATCCTCTACCAGACGGCCTTCACAGTGGGTCTCGTGCTGTTCTGTGGGCTGGCCTACGCCATCCCCCACTGGCGGGGGCTGCAGCTGGCTGTCTCTGTACCCACCCTCCTCTTCCTGTTCTACTACTGGTAATGCCTTTCCTGGCATCACGCATGGTTAACTGAGGACTGTACGCTGAGCTTGTCCGCCATGTGGGCCGTCCCCCAAAACGGCCATGGTGGCCACGCACACAGCACAGGGCCACTCCCAGCACCCAGTGCATTTGGGGTGTCCTAATATAATAGGATGCTCCTCATTGCAAGGGGACCTACCCTCAAACGGAGCCTCTTTAAACTTACATCCTCCTAGATAGAGACGTGTGATGCTACAAGGCAGACAAAAATCCAGCCAGCCACATAGCAGGCATTTGCTGTTTGTTGAATGAATGGATGGATGAATGAATGAATGAATGAAATGTTCTCTGGGGAATGTGCATGTTAAACCATTATGAAACTAAATGAGGTGTTAATCTTATTATCTGTGAACACAGGGCAGGGTCTAAGGAATAAGCAACTAGACTGATGCGTTTTTATTGTGGGAGAGGACAGCAGAGAGGGAGACGGAGAGAAATATCTCATCCACGCACCTCTTGTCACTGTTTTGCTGAGGACAGATCTTATCTGTGGGTGGCACTAAGCAGACTCAGTCTCCCTGATTGAAGGCTGGCCCCTAAGTGGGGTGCATTTACGTTCAGGAAGAGCCTGCCTTCTCTTGTCATTGTGAGACGAGGGGCTGTCCAGTGGGAAAGGCCCCCCGGCCGAGTCTGGACGACCGAGCAGCGTGGGGCTGTGCCTGTGCTTTCTTCAGAGCACCTTATGCCAGACAGTCTCCATCTTTGAGTTGTAACACCCTTGTCCTGTTTGAAATGGACAGCATGGTGTCTATCTGATGTTAAAGAAAAGCGAATGCAGTTCTTTTGTTTGTTTGTTTTGGAGAGATTTTGAGACTTGTTCAATAACACTCGTATACATGGAGACATCCTGTTGTAACACAAAGGTGGGGAACACATGGTGCGTCTATTATGTGTGAATAACTTCCCAGAGGGACAGGCTACCAGCTTCCAGGAGAGACTGGGACCTCTGCTCAGTGGTCTGTAACTCTTAGCAGGTGGCACTGAGAGCACCTGTGACTCACAGAGCTCCTGCGTGGGTCTCCCGGGCCGGCACACGATGACCCCAGATCCTTGTCCACTTTTACTTCTTGAAGAATTACCATCCCACTGTGAGGAGGATGGACTGCTGTGAGCCAGAGCCTTGCTCCGATCAGGACTTAATATCAGACGAGCTCTGGAGAAAACGCCACATACTGGTGATCTGTGTCCACAGGTGTGTGCCCGAGTCACCCCGATGGCTGTTATCGCAACAGAGAAACACTCAAGCAATAAGAATAATGGACCACATCGCCCAAAAGAATGGCAAACTGCCTCCTGCTGATCTAAAGGTGATAAGTTAGTAAGGGGTTTCCCAGGTCACTGAATTTTTGGGTTGGGTCTATGACTTAGAAAACGCCTGTGGGGCTGCCTTGGGAAGCAGGAGGGCCTGGGAGGGACTTGGGGTGACGGATGGAGTGTGCAGCCAGCCATGGTGATGGCGGCCTCAGGGGGCCCTCCGAGAGCGTTTCCTGCTCACCACAGCTTGGAGGTGGGTGGATGCTCTCTAACTCCTTCCTAGATGCTCTCTCTCGAAGAGGATGTCACCGAAAAGCTGAGCCCTTCATTTACAGACCTGGTCCGCACACCACACCTGAGGAAGCACACCTGCATCCTGATGTATCTGTGGTAAGGGGCCTTCCCGCCACCTCTCCCCCAGATGGAATGGCATGCTGCCCACGCACTGGGCTACGAGTCAAAGGCAGTGGAACAACTTGGGGGAAAGAAACCTGAAAAAGAATTTTAAGATGGTTTGTGAGTGGTCAGAGAGCTCTTAGAAAGACATGCTTATTTCTCCCTTGAGGATTGAATAATGGGGGGAGAAAGCCTCATTTTAGTAAGAAGAAGTTCGGACATATGAGAGGGCAACAGTAAGACGAGTGAACAATGACGAAGGGTTCCCAAGGTTGCCTCAAGTCCCACCTGGCTTGTCTTTCGGGAATAGCCAAGGTTTGACCTAGTGTCAGAAGGTGAATGAGATTTCAGTGGCTCCTGGTGCTTTCCAGGGGGAAGAGCTCTTCCTCTCATTTTAGAGCTTCATCTGCCCTGCCTGAGAGTGTCTGCTTTTGTCATCCACTGACTAGGAAACTCACATACACATAGATTCACCCACGTACCCCTCGCGCACACCAGAGGTCTGCACCCTCCTCCCAGGTTGCTATCTTGAGGGGACGCCCCACCTTATTTTCCCAGAGGACATCGGGTGGATTTCCTGACATCAGGGCTTCCTCCTCAACATGCAGGTGGCTCCGGTCACTCCCCCAACACCTAAGCTGAGCAGCTGAGCTCTGGGCTTCCCGACTCCTCCCCCGTTGGCCACTGTGCTGCTGCTACACTTGTGTGCACTTCCAGGGAAGGTTCTATTGGAACTAAGGGTCTGAACGAATAGGGCAGTGCCTGGCACGTAGTAGACCCCCAATAAATATTTGCTGAAGGTTGAATGAATAAACACTGTTTTGCAGAATGCATCCTAAATTCTGTAGATGCAGGCTGGCCATGCCCAGGGAGCCCTGCGTGCAGCCACGTGACCTCCCAGGAGCCTTAGCAAACACCCTGGTGCTGGGTGGGTGCTTTTCTGCTGGGAGTCGGCGTTGCATTCAGCAGTGTCTCTTCCATGTAGAGGCCGCGGCCCACTGTAGGTAGAGACACCTGCTCCCTCTCCTGTGCTGCTCCGTCCCCCTCGCCATCCCCGACACGTGTTTTTGACTCCTGTATTTTTACACCCCTCCACCCAATCCTTTGGCAAATTCTGCTTTCTTCAAAATATATTTAGAATCAGTCATTTCTCATCACCTGCACCCTTAGTTCCCTGTTGGAGTATTATAATCTCTTGCCTGTGTTACCGGAGAAGCCCCCCAGCTGGTCTGTCAGCTCCCACCCCGGTGCCCCTCAGGCGCTGGTCACAAAGCAGGCACAGGGATCTTCCTTTCCAAGCGTAACAGACCAGCTCACTCCCTGGTCACGCTGTGCACTGGCTTCCTAATCCTCTGAGAATAAAAGCAGTTCCTTTCCACGGCCCACCGGGCACCCACCGCCGGACCTGGCCCTAGAGGTCTTTGTTCACCTTCCCCTGTCATCACAGCACCTGGGGAGGCGTGGCTTTCGGGAAGTTTCCTTGCCTGTCTGTGACTCCGTTTCCTCATCAGCTAAAACAGTACCTACTCATAGGCGTGTTGGGAGAATTAATGAGATAATATGTGTAAAGGGCTTAGAACGGTGTCCGCCCGACTAGATACCGGAAATGCTCCCCACCAGCTGTTCTTTCAATGTGCACACGCAGTTCATGGGTCCTGCCAGAAGGTGGCAGCCCTGCACACTTGTTGACTGGCTTTTTGTTTTGGACGGGAAAATCTAGGGTATGCGATTCCTTTCTCCCAAATCAATCTCTTTGTCGGTAATAGGTGACTGTTCCCATTCACCTGGCCAAACGGCCTGGAGGGGGCACTTGGGCTTGTCTAGACTCTGGAGTTGCAGCAAGCGCCTTCTTTCCCGTTCTCTTGACACTTTCATCTAGTCCGGAATAATTTGGGACTAGAAACCAAAGCATCCCAGTGGTTCTCTGGGTACAGCTTTATCAAACCAGGGGGTTATATTAATATATTAATGAGAAACATAAGACGTGAGCTCAGTTTTGGAGCTGATAGGCAATTTGCATGCTGAGAGAAGACTGTAATTTTTATCAACCAAAATCTCTTCTCACAGAGCAAATGCTAATATAATCATAAAATGTTTCTAGCCTCTAAAATCATCTAGTTTTTTCCAAAAGTGACACATGGAAGCCTCTACATTTTCTCTGGAGTGAGAGCGACTTAGCTGACCCCCATCGGCCTGGGTGCCGTACTCTGAAATACGGCTCTTTTTTCCTCGAATACGGATGGAGGGGTCATGCAGTGGGATATGGGGCGGAAGAGACTCGTAAACAGCACTCGTTCGGGACAGTGCGATGTGGTGGCGGGAGCAGCACTGTGGAGCTGGAGAGAGAAACTCGGCCGGTGTCTCTGCTTCATTTGTTCTGCGTACTAGGTCTTGAAAAGATGACATTGGTGACAACAATCAAAGCTCATCTTTACTGAGTGCTTACTATGTGCCAGGAACTATACTAAGGACTTTCTGTGCATTAACTTAATGAGTCCTCAAGACAAACCAATGTGGTAGATGCTATTATTATTCTATTTACAGAGGAGGGACTTGAAGCACAGAGAGGTTAGTTAATTTACTTAAGGCCACACAGCTCATACAGCAGTCTGATTGCTGAACCGGCTCACTCACCACTATCTTCTGCCTGTCCCCTCGGAGACCTGTGCAGTGCTCAGTATGCAGTAGCAATCATTTGTGATCTTCAGGAGATGTGGGTTATATCCTGGAGGTCATACTCCCACATAAATTGTGAAAGGAAGTTCTCATTCAGGGCCTTTCTAGGATACCTTTTCTGATTTTTGGCCCCCTCTTCTCATATTGCTCCAGGACATTCTAAATCAAGTGACACATGCTTCTCTCCAGCTTATAGGGTCCTTTGTCCTCCCTCCGGAGCCCTCATTCTCCTCTTCCACAGAGCTTGCATTTGACTTGGCCTCTCTTTGCTCAGGTTCACCAGCTCCGTGCTCTATCAAGGCCTCATCCTGCACATGGGTGCCACGGGCGGGAACCTCTACCTGGATTTCTTGTACTC